GCTAATCGAAGGTGCGATGTGGGATTGGATTATGTATTTCATAGACAGAGGCAGTAAGTCATAGGCAGAGGAAACAAGAAAGGTCCTGAGCTCGGACCTGGGCATGGGGCAGGCAGTGCCGGATTATCCTAGTAGCAAAAGTAGCTACATATGTAGCTACGGGCCCCGCACTTTCAAGGGCCCCGCGCCAAATTCTTTCAAGCTATCAATTCCGGTTCAGTGATTCTGTATTTTCTCTGAGACTATAGTACTGTACTGCCTTCAACTTTTATGAACGACTGGGTGTTTAAGGTTAGCAATTTGTCGTATTATCTGGCCGTATAGCAAATAAAAAAATATAGAATTACTTTACGATGCAAGTAAAAAAATTGTGTTTTAATATTTATGTTTTTTTTATTTATTTAGGGCCCCTTTATAACATCATGCTACAGGCCCCGCACTAGCTTCATCCGGCACTGGGGGCAGGGAGTTCCCAGCACGGGGCGGCTTGAAGAAGGAAGGTTCAGACTCTGGGGATACCAAAGGTGAATGAGCAACTTCCCATTGAGGAAGGTTGACTGTGAGCTTCGACAGAAAGCCTTGTGTTGCTGGAGCACAGAGTGTACAATGGGGAGTAGAGTGAGATGAGAAGGGAGAGATAGGCAGGGACGAGTCCATGGATGGGTTTGAATACAGTTAGTGTGATCTTGACATTGATGTGGAATTTGATTAGGAGGCAGTGGAGCGGTTTGAGTGTTGAGGCGAGGAGGTCTCATTCGCGATGAGGGTGATGGGCCCAATAATGACATTTGCCCAGGTGAGCCTCATTTATTCTCCAAGAATGTTTCAAGAGAGTCCTGCATGGTGACATATACACTTGGTTGCCAGGGAAAAGCCTCACCAAAGTCTCAAGAGGATCCTGGCAACTGTTCTCGGTGCAGGGCAACACTCCCTACGCGATTAGCAATTGCGTTAATTTGAGAGTAAAGTGCTGTGATGTTTCAACGTTTGACGGTGACGCCGGCACACGGTGGCCCACCCGTTCCTGAAGTGACAGCACGGGATCTTTAACGTCACCTGTGATCTTTAACGTCCACGTTAACCACAGCGGCCCTGCCAGATTCGAAAACCTTGAAGCTCTGCAACAAGCAATGGATGCGCTACCGGTACTGCACTTGGAGAATCCCATGCGCTACCACCTCGTGGCCACGTGACGGCTACAACACCTGGCAAGCACACCTAAGCACCGCACCTCCGATTAGCACGGTTGGCTACGTACGGTGCGAAAGAGGTTCAACGTTCTTAACCAGGCTCAACTTGGACGCTTAGCTCCCAAGATTTCGTGATATCAGGTCCATGAACTGAGCTCTGGGGAAAATGTCGACAAACGGGGGAACTTTCGTTGCTTGGTGACACAAACCAAGTATTTCCCTTCAGTACAGCTCTTAAGGGGCAATGCTCCATTTGTCAAGGGGATTCACTTCCTGAGTGTTAATGCCCCCACAAGTCAAGCACAAAAAGTGATCTGAAAAAAGGAATGAAAATATTTCTGGGACGGACCCAACAGGGAAACACAGGCGAGCATGTGAACCCCGGGCAGTTATTTAAATTATGCTGTAGTGGAATAAAAATGATGAAATGAAGATGTGGACAAGAGGAGGTTGGAAGAGCGCTTTTGGAAAAACTGAAAACTAAACATATACCACCAACAAATGTGTCCAAAGTCGTACACTCGCCTGGTCATAAGCATTGTAGTGCTCAACCTTGGTACCCACGAGTGCCTAGATAAAGCAATGAAGATAGCAACGATCTGGTCTCCCAGTCATCGTGTTAGCCACGTGGAGGCCCTCCACGAACTCCGCGTGCCTTGACCTCCTGCGTCGCTTAAGCTGAAGGGAAAGATGATGATGATCAACAGCAGCAGCAGCAGCCACCCAGCCAAGACTGCCCCCTCTACTGCCCCGAGAGCCTCCATCCATCGAGATGCTCAACCAATCAGCACGTTCCGCATTTTATTGGCTCGCGTGACTAAAGGGCGTCCAACAAGAAGATGGAGAGTTGAAATTAGTTCACGTGCAAATTCTGGATTAGATTTTTTGTTGTTGTTGTTGCAACTTTAAGACCCGTGAGATGCGCACCAGCTTAGGGAGAATTTCATCTGGCAGGAGATTGATCATGGTTGATCATGATGATGATGATGATTATTTATATAGCCTAATACTGGTCCAGGTTTTTCAAATGCGACTGTAAACCAATGCTCCTGAAATTATGCACTCCCGGGAAATCCGTGTATCTAACTGGATGTGTGAAAAAGACTTTATATATTTTTTACATGGAGGGACAGATATGGGTGGAGAGTAGGCGTATTGCCTGCTTATTTATTTAGTAAACATTAATATTTCAGACTTACATGCAAAGAAAGATTTTACCAAAAAATAAGGGAGCAAATATGTTTTGAAGAGGTGAACCAGATTCCCAAATTTTGGTTCCAACTTTCCTCAAGATCGGTTCCTCGGGGGAATGAATATTCATGGATATTTTCTTCGTGAATATCCATCCATTCCTGGAGTATAAAATCTTTTCGGGAAATGTAAATTCCCCGACACGAGCCGACTGCGGCGTTGATCTTGTGGTCGTGAGCGTCGCCTATGTGTGGCGTCCACTTCCATCCATGGAGGGTGTCGTGGTTGCCCGGTGGTCAAAAAACAGAAGTGGGGTTAGGGGAAGGGATGACTCGTCCTTGTCGATGGCTGATGTTGATGTAGAGCATGGGTCTTCATTGCAAGGCCCACAGGCAACTGGCGGCCCCTAGTGGCCTTTAGTGCGGCTCCTGACAATTCAAAAATGTAAAAAAAAATCCATCGTGCTGCCAAACCCCAATGGTTTCAAATGTGTGGCGGCCCTCACACTGATGTCTCGTCGGCGAAAGTGGCCCGCCTCTGAAAATTAGTGAAGTACACTGATTCCGAGCAACATCTATAATTTTACACCGAGGTGGTTGGGCCAGAATGCTGCATCAGGAGAAGCACAGCGGTACATATCGCTGTGTTGATACCCATTAGGATCAATGAGAGAGGTAATACTCAGTGATTGGTTGGCAAGGGTTAGGGTTAGTCAAGGCCGTAATTATGATATTCAAATATGCTCAAAAATGTCCCCCCCAATATATTGCTATACAAATAATTGCTATGCTATGTAAATAAAAATAACAATTTGCTAAACCTTGGCTACAATATCTGGACTTGGCTTCATATAATAATGCATAGATTTCTGTTTATATGATTGTAGTTATGGTTGTACTTTATTAATCCCTAATCTCTGCCATTACATACAATGAAACAAGAAATGGTAAAAAAAAGTAAAAACAGAGCAATGTAATACAATATACTATTAGACATTATTGTAAAAAAAGTCCATCCCATGTGTTAGTGAATTTTTTTATATTTTAGGCAGGAAATTAGTTTTCAAATTTAGATTTTTTCTGGGTTGGGACCCCCAGACCCCCTGGAAGATTTGGTCCCCCCCAATGTTGACTCCATGGCTACGGCCTTGGGGTTAGTACCGGTAGTTGTATGAGCTGTTGTTTAGGGATAGTGGTATGGTTATGGTCAGGGGTAGTGGCAGTCAAGTAATAGTAGCTCTAAGCTATTTGGTTCGGGTTAGCGGGAGAGCTTGTACGATTGGCTCGTTGTTTCAGGCTACGTGTATGGTTCATATTTGCGGTCGGTCAGCGTACTAGTTAGAGATAGAGACGGCATTTGGTTAGCTGGTATGTCTAACTCCCATACCGCTTGCTCCCCCCCACCCCCACTCCTCCCCTCATTTATGACATTTTTACCATTTTTACTTTTTGGCCGCATTTGGGTTGTGTTCATGGCATTCGACGCGTCACGCAGTGAGGGGCGCGCGCGCGCGCGCGAGAGAGAGAGAGGAATGGTAGGGTGGTGAGGTGGGGCGGACGCGGGGTGGGTTTAGGGCACAACAAACTGGAGGAGGAGGAGGAGAAGCGTCCCGGGTTGGCATCGTGCGCCAGAGTCTCATCGGCAAGCGCAAAAGAAAACCACACGGACGCAGCTCAATCCTTAACCCGCCCACCCCATCCCGAACGGCACCTCCCTGCCCCCACGTGCGCCAGTCTCGGGATCTCGCACTGGGCTCTTCAGCCATCTCAAAACAACACAGAAACACTATGGACAGAACGTCGTCTTTGATCCGAGGTGACTGCCAAAGAGAGATGAACCTTCATCTTGCAACAGCAAAAAAAAAAAACCCTTCGTCATCGTCAGACCCACGTTGTCCATATATATTTTTTCCTGCCTTCGAGCTCGGTGAGGAAAAGAAAATAATAACGGCAAAGAGAGGGGAATGGATTTTTCTTTTTCAGCGGTTGGGACAAAATCGTGAAATGCGTTTTTTAGAGCCTGGTGACTAAAACGCAGCAGGGAAATGACTTATGCGTCTGCGATGACCTCTCATCATCATCATCATTCTTAACGTCATCGTCATTGTCACCATCGTCGCTGTCGGGGGAGGCGGGAGCAGCAGCAGCAGCTGACCCCCGAGCCCCCTCGTTCTGCGCGCTCGCCCGGCCGCCAGCCGAGGGTTTTAACGAGCCCCGTCGCCAGGACGATGGCTTCTCTGATAAACGAGACTCGGAGGCCACAGTGGCCGTTTGCACTCCCAGAGGATAGCATTACCCCCCCCCCCCCAATGTGTTTGTAACCCACCCGCCTCCCTCCATTCCCTCGCTCCCCACCTAAGTTATTTTCCATTTCACATTTGCTCTGCACGCACACGCGACTGCACACCTATGGGATGGGTGCAGCGCGCGCGCGCGTGCAAACAATAGCTTTCATTTAGAGCAAAATAAATAATAAATAATTCTCGCCAATCCCTATTCCCGCGCCGCTGGGCCCCCCGACTCTCAAGGGAAAAGGAAATGAATTTAAAATGAATAAGGAATTTGAAAGTGCCCTCGCACGTACACACACACGCACACCCAACACACCCACAAACGTGAATGCCTAAGCACCCACAGTGTTATTTTTAATGGCCCTACGAATAAGGCAACAATGACATGACAGCCACGCAGCACAGAGAGTGGTGGTGAAGATGCCAGCATGCTGAAGTGTATTGGCATTTCGCTGCACAATCCTCGGCGCCAATTCATCTCAGGGGAGGGAGAGTCGGCGTGTAACAAGCGTAAGGCAAACCATGCAGCATTGTTACCACAGTGCATTCAAAATCGTGGCCCGGCACGGCCGCCCTGCAAATGCCACCAGACAGAAAATGTCGGCTGTGGATTCGTCTCAGCGCCTCTCGCGCGCCCATTACATTCGCACCGGTGCGGAGGGAAACGAGGGGAAAATTCTCCGTCTGCCCGTCTCCTTCGTCGCCAAACCAAAACAAAGATATGCGTAATCTTGTCCGTTCGTTCAAAGCGGCCGGCGTTAAACGGTGCGTCGCCGCGAAGGGATCTCACGATCGGGGAAACGGCTAGGGGTTGCCACCTGTTCTGATTTCCCACACCCCCCCCCCCCCCAGGGATCTTTAACAAATCTGCAAGAGTCTCCCGGGATATCAAACATTTAAAAGTCGTGGGTTTTTTTTGTCAACTCCGCAAAATAAACACCACTCAAGACGATGCATTCACACGCAGTTCTCCCAATCATCTGACATTGTGGGATATTCTTCTCATTGCCGTGATCTTCCCACGATGTGTGCCCGTTATTTTGGTTATCTCAGAGGTGGCAACCCCTAAGGCGTGCCCGCCTGGCTCGAGGTGGCGGTGACGGCGGTGGCGTCGGGGGCAGCCGGGGCGACCCCTGCGAGCCTCTCCAGGAAGAGGGGCGAGGAAAAGCTCGGACGTGAATAGCCCCACGACCGCATATCCCACGCGCCGAGGGCCTCACAGCAGCCGGTGTGAACGTAAGTCGGCCACTCATATTTCAGTCGCAAGTCCCGTGTGGTTAATGTCCTGGAGTGATTTTCTTAGTCTGGTCGACCCGAAGCAAACCAAACGTTCAGCCGGGACACTTCTCAGTGACTAAATATTGGTGTGGGGGGCATGCAATCCCCACTCCCCCAACTTCTACCCAATATAACGTCAGCCAATTAGTTATTTCAGTATTTACTTAATGTACATATATAGCCAATGGCCGTGTTTGGTCTTCTTCGGTGCACTGCGGTCTCTGATAAGGTAACGAAAATTGTCTTATCATGGGACCTCCCTTGCCAGTATCATGTTCACCACAAAGCATTTTTGGTTAATGCAGACATGATTCCTTGCAAAAGGTTTCAGTTTGGTGGCTTAACATCTTAACACCATCTGTTTAATTGCCAGAAAAGGATGTCAAACCTATTCTTATATTTTGAAAACCGTCTTAGTCTGCGTCTTCACTCAGACGCGTTCGTTCCGTCGCGTCCGTAGAACTCGTTTCATGAAGTCTCGTGGACTTTTGCGGGGTTAGCGATCGTTGTCGTCAAGCCCGAGGATTTTCACCCACCGGCTAAAAATAAAATAAAACAAACCCGCCGACTCCGTTCACGTGTATATCGGACGCCGCTCGCAGGCCGCGCGGCAGCAGACGGTGCCCGCTCGACCTCCGCGACCCTCCGAGCCCGGCTGAGACGAAATTTGACAGCGAGGAGCGCCGGCAAACGCGGGCGTGCGTGCCTCCAGCCACCGTCACGCCCCTATTAGAGTGTTAACCGTCCATTAATCACGATTAACCCGTGTACGAATTGGCTGATAAGTCAATTAACCGACGGGATTGTATCTGTAATTAAATATCAAGCGCCACGAACCGGCGTTCGGGTTCATTCATTAATCAAGTGCGGCGAAAGCTTCTCTCTCTACCCCCCCACACTCCACCACCACCAGTACCACCACCCTCCCCGCCACCACGGGCCCGGCATGTGTCTTTGCCTCTCGCGGTGGGCCGCCGATGCCTCGCGTTCACCGCATTCAACAGAGGGACAGGGAGGCGTTCAACTTTTCGGGATAGGTTCCAGGAGAACGGAATGCCAGGGTATTTTGGGCAACTTTCGTGAAGCATGTAAATGTTTTTGTTATTTCTAAGGCAGCGTCGTGCACTCGCCCAGGATTAAGTCAAGATGCCTTTCCAGCCAGGATGGTGATGTACATCATCGTCAGTAGGCTGTTGACCACGGCAACCCCTCGTTACCAGGGCTTTACTAAAGATTTCTCGAGTTCGCCAGTAGGGCCACAATGTATTGGCCGTCTTTTGAATTTCACTCCCAGGCCCCGCTTGGAGGAGAGGCAACAGGCTTTGCCAGCGGTCGTAGCGACCTACAGGGACATTTGCGGCACAACTGCCCAGTGGAAGCCAATGGGTTTAATATATCCGTGGTGTGTGTAAAGGGGAGAGGTAGGGCGGAAGGGTAGAGGAATGTGAGAAGCGACACGGTGGGGTGGAGTGGGCGGGTGGACAGATTACTGTATAATATTTATAATGAACAGATAAGTCTTGTTGTGGTTTATTTTCCTTCATCGTTTTTCACTGACGGGGGCCAGGTCCCCTCCTCAGGCCCCCTCCTCAAGGCCCCCTCCTCAGGCCCCTTCATAATGAGGCACCACTGCAATTGCATCGATTGCGCATGCTTCTCATGATGTGTATATGCCAGCATCCATGCCGTGCCCATGGTCACAACGCGAGGCCCGGTCTCCAGAGGCCAAGTCGCTCCGCCTTCCAGCAGCTCGCGGGAGACCACGGTGAGTGTTCGATGTAGTAACGTACAAAAAAAAAAGAATTACCCACACATCCTATATGTATATATACAGACACACACACACACAATGTGCACAATCACTGCCCATTTGTACCGATATACAAACATCACGACCAACGTTGAGATTCACTTTTGTAACACATCAAGTCTGCAAAAACTGTTCAAAGTTCAAAAACCCGATATAGGAAATTACATATACACCGTACGTACAAACTTTGGTAATGAGAAGGTATATCAATATAAAAATGTAACCATTTCCTGCGACGACCACGTCAGAAAGTGTAGATAACAGCTAGGCCAGAGACAGAGAGAAAGAGAGAGAGACGCATCCGATCAACAGCGCCGGAGAAGAAAAAAAAACAACAAAAAACGAGGCAGCACAACGGCATGGGGCAGCCAAATTATCCTTCCTGGGCAGTCACGAGGCACAGAGGAAGACCCGGTCAGAACCCCCCCCCCACCAACCACCCCTCATTACAACATATTGCACTTGATCTCACCTGCATGAGCAATCATCAGCACGTTAGACGGCGGACACATCGGGGGACGAACCGGCCACAACGTCGCTGTACCCGCCCCACCCTGCCCGCTTGTCCCTGGTGGACCACCATGCCCCGGCGAGTGGCAGGCCGGCAGCCTCACGACGGCACGGCGAAGAACCAGGGGCAGCCCCGTAGCGCCTGTGGTGGCTGGAGGGAACTGGGACCCCCGATCTTCTTCAACCCCCCCACCACAACCTCTAAATTCTTATAGTCACATCAAAATGGTGTCACAGTCTATATATGTGTAGGGGGTGAAAGCGAGAGCAGAATGCACGATAGACCAACACACACCGCATCGTTGCTGCTCATTCTGTCGAGCGATTAACATTCGGTTAAAAGTTTGTTTGGCATTGCCTTAAAAACGGGGCATGCGACAGGATTGACGGAGAGCGGGGGGAGGCATCCAGGGCGGGTGGTGAACCGATGAGCTGGCTGGGCTTGGGACGCGTGCGGGGGCACGGCGCGCGAGCGAGCGAGCGAGCGAGCGAACGCGGTGAAGTGTGCTCCGTCGCCGCCGTCGCGCGCCGGCAACGCTGACGCACCAGCTCAAGCCGCCGTGATCTTCGGGTGGGGGTCGGGAAAAATAAAAACAAAGTTTGGTTTCTTGTAAACAATTGCGAGATATGCTAAGACGTCTCGGGCAGGTGGTCGCTGGTGCACGCGCCTGCACACGATCGCTATGGCACGTGCGGGCGGTGGTGACGACGACGGGGGGCTTGTGGGACTGGACCTTAAGAAAAAAAACTTTGCGAGTCGTTCGTGAAAAAAAGTCGCATTATTACATTTCCGCATCCCCACTCGCGCCGTGCAGGTCTGTTTTCAGGCGTTCACAATCCTTGGTGTGGAGTCGAGGCGGCCGATCTCTCGACCGCTCTCACCGCTGCCGCGCCCACCGTCAACGCCGCGCTCCGCTTGGTGACAACCGGTGTCCGCGATGTTGCTCAGGGCGTAAAGAAGAAGAAGACGTTGAAATTGATCTCCTCCACCTCCCGCACATCTTCGGCGCGTGGCTACGTGGGCTCCGAGGTTGTTATTTAACTGCGTGGTCTCCAGCGACGGCGGTCGTGGTGCGGCGGTGAGGGAGGGGGGGGCGGCGGTGACGGCGGTGGTGGTCGGTTGAGGGCACTGCACCACTTTTCCCACGGTTCGCGTACTCCCGGACGACGCCGCACCCTCCCTCGCCATCAGCCGCACAAACCTGTGCTATGGACCATGCAAACGGCCGCTTAAAAATAAAAAGAACAGGTACTAAAAAGGGGGCAACGTTCACCACCTTAGGCACAGTTCACAGCTTCTGTTGACGATGACTCATCGATGTGGAAAAAGTAGAAGAAAAGAGAGAGAGAGAAAAAAGACAAATTCCTGCCGGCCGTTGGAAAAAAAAGAGAGAGCATCTTTTCCCTCCGCCCCCGGTCGCCCGCTCCGATTCGCGCGACTGTCTGTGTGCCCGGAACTGCTGTGCTCGGTCCCATGGCTTTGGATCAGGTCGGTCACGTTCGCGGCAAAGCTGTCCGCCGGCAACCGCCGGTGTCCAATGTGGCACCACGGCGCGACGTGGCCGTGGCAGCGGGCCGGCCTGCCGGGGATCAGAGGAATTCGATCGCTTGGATCGGAGTGGTGGTGGGTTGGGGGGGAAGGGGCGTGGTGGGAGTGGGGGGGCGTGGCCGATCGTCGATCGTCTGGGTTGGGTCGAGGAGGCCGGAGGAGGCTCTTGGCGTCCCGGGCGGGACAAGTAGGAATCAGTCTACGCCCTCGAAGCCCTGCGCGTTCTCGATGGCCATGTTCAGCCTCTCCCGCAGCTCCTCGAACGACTCGTACGGCGGAAGGTCCAGGCGGTTGAAGCTGAGGAGCGGCAAACAAAAAGGACACCGCACCAGGGGTTTTGCTACCACCGGCCCTAAGAGGTCCTCGCTGACAGCACTGCAGTAGGCTGGCTACACACGGAGGACCGTTTTGCCTGTGCGCGCATTCGTGTGTGTGTGTATGCGCGAGTGCGTGCATAAATACGTGCACGATGCGTGCGCGTGAGTGCATGCGTACGGTCGTGCATGTGTAGGTACGTGTGTGAATGTGCGTGCATGAGCGCATGTGCGTGCGCGCATGTGCGTATGTGCGTGAGGTCATAAGTGCATGTTCATTCTTATGCATGCCCATAATAGAGGGGTTTTTTTGGGTTAGATCGCGTAAATGTATAAATGTGTCGTTAAAACCCGCCACCACCCGACACAACCAACTAGTAAGGGTTGTCACGTAAACAGAACGTGGCCAATTAGTCACTAGTACAGCACGCCGGTGTGTTGGAGAGCCAAGCCACAACATTTACAATCTGAGTACGATGTTTCGCCAGTAATTACAACTAGCTTCATCAGGCCAGAAGTCTAACTGTTTCGTTCCTTATATAGAGGCGTAGATGTGGTGACCATGCTTCTGCACTCTTGCACAATGTGAGGGGCGGGGATTACTCAGGCAACGCACATTATGCATGTGCATTATGCGAGCCCTTTGATCTTGTCCTTCCTGTCTATTGTGCGTATTAAAATAGCCGTACCAACGGTAATCCCTATTGAAGTACGCTGCTCTTTATAGGCATGCATTTAAACAATGTATTATTTGATGATTCGCTTCCACGCAGCACTAAGGCGGTAGCTATCCAAACGGTTAAAATAATTTTTATTTCTAGCAATTTTTATAGATTCTCTAATTAGTCTTGGCCAGTAGATGCTAGTTTTGCACAGAAGTTCAACATTATCGAAATCAATTGAGTGTCCTTGTTGGCAAGCGTGTTCTGCGAATGCTGATAGTTGTATTTGGGAGTATTTAATATTTATTTTATGTTCTTTTAGTCTCGTGCTGATCATTTGTCCTGTTTGCCCAACAACATTTCCCACACGTGCAGTTAATCCTGTACACACCTTCTGTTGATAGCTTCGGTAATAATCTTTTGTGCCAAATATAAATTTCTGTATTTTATGTACCGTGCCAAATCTGACTCGGATGTTTTGTTTTTCCAAACATCTGGCTAGTTTATCAGTTACTCCCGCAATGTACGGTATTTTTTTCTTTTTAATTACTTGGGCAATTTCAAAGCTCGTGTTATTTTATTCGGTTTTAGCATTCAACGCCCTGTTGATTTGTGCATCATTGTAACCGTTCATTTGCAGCGCTTCTTTAACATGTTGAATTTCACTTCTCAGACTTGCCCGTGTGTATGTGTGTGCGCGTATGCCCATGCGTGTTTATGTTTGCGTGTGGGAGCGTGTGCCGCGTGTGTGTCTGCGTGCATAGGGTCATGCGTCTGTGCATGAGCCCGTGTGTGCGTGCGTGCGCGTGTGTGTACAGGCAAGCAAGTGTGCGTGCGTGGGGCTTTCTCGAGTGGGTGCGAGCGTGCGTGTGGTGTGTGCGTTTGTGTGCGTGTCTTACCAGGTGTGCGCTCGTGGGAGTTTCTCCGGTGCACCCCACATCTCAACTGTGAACAGCTGAGGGCCGTTGGAACCTGGCAACAAGAGGAAGACGAGCGCAAACATTACGTCTCTAGCCGACGAGAAAAACCCCCATCGTCATAACAGAAAAACCAGTGGAGGCCTGTAAAAACACAAGTTTCAAACAACAGACAGAGACATGTACAATAAGCACTCAGACTTTGTGCAATCATGCAAAAAACCATCAAGCATTCCTGAAGAACTTCACCGTGGCGCTCTTGTCTTAGGTCATCCACTGCACCAGCCAATTAGCTGCCAGGAAGAAAACCCCGTGCAAGACGGCCACCGTGACATCAACTATAATGTATACAATTACATATTAATAATATACGATCATATAATCATATTACTATAATATATCATGAAAAATAATCGCTTAGTGTGCTCCAGGCTGAGGTAAGTATGGTTGAGGTAAGTAAGTTTATGTTTCATGTTGAGCTTCTTCACTCCCTCGCGGAATCGGGAGTCACAACGAGTCTCAGCATAAACAATTTCTAGACTTGGCTTGAGTGGCTCTGTGCTCGGAGGCCCTCACCTCTAACCCGCACGCGGCGGTGAGGGCCGACGCCATCATGGCGGCGGCGGCGGTAAAACGCGGCGGGACCTTACCGTAGAGCTCGGCGAAGCCATTCATGGGGACGCGCGATGTCCCCGTCACAAACTGCAGGAGCCGGATCCTCTTCTCGGCGTCCATCAGCAGCACCGCCTGCACGCTCACCGCAGTGACACGCAGTGACAAGAAACACATTTTTTAAAAAATTTTCCCAGGTAAGGCCCACTGAGCCGTTCAGATATTTTTCAGAAGCGACCTGGCCACAAATGATTGCCAAATGAAGTGGCTGATCACGTGGAAATTTATATCAGCCAAATACTCTGAAACGCACGTTGATTCTAAATGTGGAGGGAAAAACCGGAGGACCTGGAGAAAAATCCACGCGACCGCGGGGAGAGAGAGAGACACACAAACTCCAGATACACAGCAGGCTTCAGGGTCGGCATCGAACCCATGACCTCCTATATGCGAGGCGAGGTAGTTAACATCTCGCCACGCACGATGGCACGTGGTGAACGGACGGCCTGGCGGGACCAGCGCCACGTGGCGAACGCACGTCGAGATGACGACCGCCTCACCAGATTTGCCATTAGCAACGGTCATTTAGCGAGACATTTTTAAAATTTTAGTCACGGTCTTCACCTCGTACGATGACAACCACCTGCAAAATATTAGCCGGGTCTAAGTCTGCGAATTCCGCTTCGTCGTTCTCTTGGTTGAGTCGACTAAAAAAAAGTCTCGAGTGATTTTTCTGGTCAAACTGAGCAATTAATCATTAGTGCTCACCTCCCGTTCACTGCCCTGAACTGAGGTTGACTTCTGCAAGAATTGGTACTCGTTTTAGCGGCCACGGAGGGATGATGGACCGAGTCAACCCCCAAACAGGATTTGATCTCGCGATCTTTCGATTGCCGCTCCCTGTTAGGTCAGAAATGTAGTCCACTCTTACTTCGTAATGGTCGGTGTGCGGGGTGGAAATTCTATTCCTCACCAATATGATCAGGTCAGCCAATCAGTGAAGTGAGTACAGCACTTACATAGCCAATCACCACTATTAATCGTCCTCAGTGCACTTCCGTCTCCGATAACATTACTAAGTCGGCCAATCAAATGCTAATTTTTATGCTAATTCCTTTGTCAAGGCACCTTGTTTCCTCGCACACAGCTTAAAGGTCGCGGTCTGAGCGTGGCTGTGTTTCACTCCAGCGCTGTCCTCGAGACAGCCTGGTCCCTTCACCTGATGAAGGCCGCTTGTGTTGTGGCCGAAACGTCGTGATTTTTGTTGTTTTATTTTTTACCTACGTGACTTTAACCGAATAGAACCAAAGAGTATTACTAAAACTATCCTCGTCTTCATGAATGTCGTCTCCTCGGCCAATCACGTTGCAACGTCCGGTGGGCGGCAGTTGCAGTCATCGTCGCGCTCGGCAATTCTCGTCCGCTCGTAGCCTTCGCCGACGAAAAAAATCGAATAAAAGTTTACGCTCTGTCGACGAATGTCCCCGCCACTAGCATGGCCAACGAAGCGAAGCCGGGCCCGACACGCGGCTCTCGCCGGACAGCGCCGCCGACTTCGCTCGCACCTTCCAGAACCACTGGACGACGGGGTGGTTGGCGCAGTAGCCGTTCTTGTAGACCGTGTGCTGCCTCCAGTTGTTCACGTCCACGTCTCCCAGGCCGCACACGAGCAGCTGGGAACACGGAGCCGCACGCGCACGCACAGACATGATAAGGATCCACCCCCGTATAGCCTGAATGGACTGTCGGGGCGAGCGCTGTTAGCGAGTAGCTCCTGTGAAGGCCGGCACGGCGCACGACGGGGCGTGTGACCAACACCACGTCCAGCCGCCTTTGTCTCCCCAGTGGTGATGTTTACACAACAAACCGGGTACTCATTTGAGGCTGAGTCGACCTCGGAGAGGCCCAGGACCGGTTCAGATCATCGTCACCGGTGTTGGTCGTGAGTGGGAATTGAACGCGGGTCGCCAGGTTCGTAGCGCAGCACGCTAAACGCTACACTACCGCTTCCCATGCACACACGCGCGCACACTGAGCTTCGTTAGCGGTGGCAATGCACGCTCGCCCGCGAATCTGGGTCACATGACGGCCTGCTTCCTGGAAAACCCGAATCCCTGTGCGAGATGGATTGTCACCCTGTAGAATTTGGACCCCAGGTACAGAATACTGTGTGCATCATTTGATCATCAAGGCTGCAAATTCTATTAAAGCAATATGACTCCCCTGTGGAAAATAACCCCCCATGGAAAAATTACTCCCCACCCGACCCTCCAACCAGGGTCAGAATTAAGCAGGGGGGGAGCTTCAATTACCACAATGGGTGGGGGTTCAAATAATACATTAGATTCTTACCAAGGGGGTCACAATTTTATATAATGTCCTGCAATCCATGCCGTCTCAGAGCTAGGGTCAGAGACTGTGTGTTTGCGAGCTGGCATGGCATACGCCGCCTGCAAGATCTGCACGTGCGATGACGAGGACTGACAGAAAGTAAAGATGAAATGCAAGCGTGGAGTATTGAACACCGATGGAGGAATGGACAGGCGTGTTTTGGGCAAGCATATTCTGTTCAGCGATCGCCGCATTTGGCAGTCCCTACCTCCAGCTCATTTTCGTCAAATATCTTGATCAGGTCCATGGGTATCAGCTCGCAAAAGCCCTGCAAAAGACAAGCACAAGTTTCGAAGCCCCGCGCTGTGGTTTACATTGCACAGCGATGGTGCGAAACGCACTTCTCCATTTCCACAGCCTGCTCCTCTTGGATAAGCGTCCACGTTTCCCAGTCGTACAGCGACGGTGAACCAAACGTTACATTTCGCCATCCTCATGTGCACCTCCCATTAGCACGGCTGGCCACGTACGGTGCGAAATATGTTCAAGATGCAAACATATCTTCTTGATGGTGGCGCACAGGTACCTCGCATTCACGAACGCGGTCTTTGCCGAAGCTACCGCTTAGTGATGACATTGGCAGGGCCACCAACAAGTGTTTTGGGCCAAGGGGCAAAAATGCCAAATGAGGGCTCCTCTCGGGCCCTTTCTAAGGCCCCCTTGGATCTGAGGCCTACGGCTTAAATGCGCCACCTGCCTTTCCTCTCTATGGCTCTGAGCACGCGTGCTCAAGGCTCCAAGACCGTGCTGCTGCGACCACCGAACGCGCCGGCGGGCCCACGTCTCACCTCCATGAAAGCGTTCATTTGCTTCTGGACCCTGCTGACAAACCTCCACTGGATCACCAGGCTGACCCGTGGGCAAGGGCAGCAGCAGCACATGCGGCGTACAGACAGGGGACACGCACACACAAAGACAAAGATCCCCCACAGAGTTCTTAACAGACTGTTGGGACAACATACAGACGCACGTACACAAACACGCATAGAGGCTCATCATCCACCCATCGCGCGCTTTCAGATGCGCTTCTGCGGCCATCTGGAACGCTCTTCCTTCCGATATTAGGAAGCCATGCACTTTGAAATCTAGATTGCAAACGTATTCCTTTCCAACTGCTTTTTTTAAAATTAGTTTGTTGTACTTTTCCCCGCACCTCCGATTAGCGCGTTTGGCGACATACGGTGCGCAAAAGAAGTTCAACATACATACCCATCGCAACGGGGTTGTCTAGTTTCCCAGCTTCTCCACGCATGCACGCACACCGGTTTATCATCGGTGACCACGCTAAAACGCACGCCGAATTACCACCAACGCATCCGCACGGGCGCGCTGCTCTCCCCGCGAACGTCGCGCTAACAAACGGTAGCCCGCGCAGCGCGTCGCGTTGCGGGAGAGGCGAGAGAGTCAGTTTTTTTTTTTTGTCTGTGGCCAAGCCTCAGAAAAACACCAACTCTGCCAGAGAAATTGAAAACATGTGTGGCTCCGCCGGCACCGAGCCATCGGGGCATGCAGTCGCGTGAACCTCCAAATGCCCCCACCCACGGCCCGATACTGCAGAGGCTACTCGAGGCGAGGGAGGGTCGATGGTTCGCGCCGCGGAATTGAAAATCCAGAGGTCGCCGGTTCGATACGATCCTCTCACGCGGCCCTTGAAACGACGGTGAGAGTATATTAAGCCACCCAACCACCACCCCCCCTGCCCCCCCCCCCTCCTCCTCCCGCCCACCTCTGTCCATCCGGCAGTATAAATGTGTACCCTGCAGTTCGTCAATGGGCGGGTCGCGTGCGGCGGTGTCCGCCCGGTGTGAAAGAGTAGGCCAAAATACCCTCTAGAGGAGCCCTCTAGCGGTCCCTCTAGTGGAGGTCCCTGTTGCCAGGAGTTGCATGAGGAGCAAGCAACCACAGGGCTGCATCTTCACCCTCTACCCGCACCTCCGATGAGCACGGTTGGCTACATACATACAGACCTACGCCTCTCTCTCAGTTCCCCCAGCCCCAGCCCCAGCAATGCAGAACTGCTCTGTCGTGCAGAGCCCCTGGGCTGGCAGAGCTCAATCCCCACTCACATCGTGGCAGCGCTGTGCATTGGTCCGAGCAGTTGGCGTTCACGTCCCTGGCCCCATTTCATTCCTCGCACAAGGGCCCGATGCCAACCTCGCTACGCTACTGCATCCACGGTGTGCAGTTGCGCTGCCTGGCGCACCCAGGAGCTGTGCCACTGAGCGTGGCTGGTGCTTAGTAAATTCCGCGTCTGACACGCGGCCCTCTTAGCAGGGCATGAGGGTGCATTGAAAAGTGTGCCATGAATGTTGACGAAGTGGCCCAAGGAATGGATTTCAGGAGTGGTGCTGTGAAATCCTCTTCCAAGACCATTGTCTAGCACAGGATGGCACACTTGCTAGCTGTGAGAGGTACACATGGAATTCACGCCATCGGAATATGATTTGGCAAAAATAATACTTGAGCTTCAGTTTTGAGCTCTGAAATCTATCCTTTTTCCATTGCATATTTCATAACAGTTCAGTACAATAACAATGTTAAATCATCGTGCCTGGCCATCATGCAAATCTCTGCCTATGATGAGAAAATGTAACGTCACATTCAGAGCGATGCTAGTCCAGGATGTTGAATGAGTTGAGCTCGGTGGCTAGGGGCGCTTGTGACCCAGCACGTTGAAGGCGACGTTTTGGCAGAACACACAAAAGATTTCATAATAAAGGTTTCTGGGTTAGATCGTGTAAGTATAAAAATGTCCAAACCCGCCAGCACCCGATAGCCAACCAGTAAGGTTCGTCACGTGAACAAAACGTGACAATTAGTTTACTACTTCAGCCCAACCGGTGTGTTGGAGAGTAAATCCGCAACATTTGCAATTTGAGTACCGTGGCGTTTCGCTGGCGATTGCATCAACCAGCATCATCGGGTTACGACACATCTCATACTCACGCGATCTCACCCAAAAAACCCCTTACTACGAATAATATTGGTAGGCGAAAGCCTCCTACGTGTCAAACTGACATGGCGATTTGTGAAATGCCCAATCCTACTGAGCTGCGAGGTGACCACGAGGTGGCAGTGCAGCAAGTGGGTTTTCAAGCCCGTCCGTGTGGACCGCTGCGGGCGTTATCCATTCATATGCATGGTGGGTTGTCTCCGGGTACTCCGGCTTCCTCCCACGTGCAATGCAGGACTCTCCTGAAAAAGAGCCCGGAGAATGACTGATGCTGTTCTACATAAATGGACGTATTGGCGGCACACCGGTGCAGCATAACACACCGGTCCCTATAAAACAGTCGAAAATCAAAAATTCGAATTCGCAAAACTGTTTATCAGTCTTTAATTGACCCTGTTGCCAAGTTTGATGCGATTCGAAGATGTATTCAGTCGACTGAGACTTGCTAAAAAAAAGGTCAACATTGATCGTTGATTTGGGTACGATGAATCGAGGATGCATCCGACTAAGTCTAGGGCACGATGATTTAAATCTTGCCTTTAGAACACGGAGCCAGCCGAACCGTCATCAGGCTGGGTGCTGCTCTACGGCAACGGGCTGTGAATCTTCATATTCAGCTGCTCATAACATTCATCTTCTGACTGCTTCGACATCACGAGAACCGATTTTGACGCACCACCACCCGCAATGATTCTATATTTTCGCGGGAAAATAAAGAATCATTGCTAAAAAGGTGCTTTTTCTTTTTTCTCTACCGCACACCGCCGGAGTACCACCAATACGTTTAAATAAATGCCGCCGTGAGTCTTGCCGCAGCTGTCTTAGCATCATCCGCACGGGGACTCACTCGATGTACTCTTTCTTGTTGTCATTGGTGACCACGATCTCGGATCCGTTTGGCAGCAGCTCGACTTGATGGGTCTGGAGACAAGAGGAAGAAAACCATCACCGGTCAGGCTACACGTCTGCGAGACGGTTCGTGGATATGGCAGCTCCCTTCCCCCCTGACCACCCCCCCCCCCCGCACCCCCTCGCCTCCCCAGCCCTCCAAGCACGACAGCTCAATAACGAGCTCATGAGCTCCAACGTGGCTCGTTTAGACGCGACTCGTCAGCACCTTGTCCTGGATGACGGAGACCACACTTCCCCGTGACGTTTGGTCATAGGGTGGCTCTTCATCCATCAGTGTATTGACAAAAGGCTATATATACATCACTGTTATCAACTAAGTGAACTACTGACAGTTCAACAGAACCAAACTCGAAAACTTCTCATTATTCTTCTTTTTTAGCTAGAGTTCCATTTCTTGCAATCTGCAATGGCCGTGGTGGCGGCGGTGGCACTAACAGGTGGCGCTCTCTGGTGAAAAGCGTCAACAGCATCGCTCGCCAACTCGCTTGCTCTCTCGCCCGCTCGCTCTGCTCCACCGCGTGGGGGCGCGGGGGCAACGCGGGGACAGCTCAGGAACAGGGGGACGGCCGGTGCTGCCAAAGCTGGTGGGGGATTTTCGGCAGGTGGCATGCGTCTCCCGCGGTGTGGCGGGGATGGTGGCGGTGGCGGTGGCGGTGATGGTGGCGGTGGCGGTGGCGGTGGCGTTGACGGTGGTGGTGATGGTGACGGTGGGCGGTCGTGCGCACGAACAGCGGCCGGTCAAACGTCTCGGTGAGCGACGTCGACCGAGCGCAGGCTCACACGTTCCGGTGACGACTTGCGCCGAGGACGGGCACGGCACAATTGGTTTGGCGCCAAGCGGTTTTTAAAAAGTCTCCATTTCTCTAAAGCCCCGCCACCGCCCCCCCCCCCCCCCCCAACCGGATACGCGGAGCTCTCTACCCAAAGGGCATCGACGCCACCACCTCCTGGCTTCCCAGGGTGTGGTGGCAGTACAGCAAGTGGATTACATTCCTAGATTCCATCGTTACGGGAAAATAGTGTTACCCCCCCCGTCCCCCCCCCCCACCCTTCCTCCTCCCCCCACTCCCTTGTTCCCCACCAGCCCCCCCACCTCACCCAAGTGAGTTTTCTCCAGGTACTACGGTTTCCTGCCACGTGAACAAACATTCATTAATGGAGTTGTGGCAAACATCCCAATCGAGGGCTGCAGAGCTTGGATAATTGTTGGCACCGGTTCTGGGTGCCTTCCCTGCTTGTCGGCGGTTTCCCCAGCGCCCCTGTGCAAAAGCTGTCACTGATTCTACAGCGTTTCATAGATGCAATTTTGCAAGAACTATGTTGAATAAAAGCCAAACCTTACTATTTTTATTACGGCTCTGCGCCATGTTCCACAATGACCGAATCTGAAAAACGATACCGCAAATTACTCAGCTGGGAAACACACAGTGGGTCATCGCCCCCTTACTTAATAATAATGAACATTTATAATGCACGTTATGAATTTGAATTATTACTATTGTTAGCAAACATTTATCACAACCCTCCCTTAAAAAGAGTCGGCGAGGTTTTTTACCCCTGAGCAAGCAAGTGTCATGAACAATAACAATAACGGTGAATTAAATAATAATTATTATTATTATTGGCGAGGAGTGCCGCGTGAGACGGTCGTCAGAGCGCCGCCGTGCAGTGTGTTCCAGCGTCGCTCCACACCTGCCCGAAGAGCTCCTCGTCGATGCAGAATCGCAGATCGAGGTCCGTGGGATCGTTCTCGAGGATCCACATGAGCGAGTTGAAGTACTCGCTGTCCTGCAAGCAAGAGGGTATTTATAGAGACGCTCTCTCCCGCTCGCTCGCTCGCTCTCGCGCTCTCCCCCGAGCGAGCTCCTTGCGTTACACCAAAATAGCGAGCTAATGCGACGGCGCTGTATAAATCATAACTCGGAACGTTCAGAATTTTAATGGTGCGCGAAAGGCTGGGGCGCCAGGTGGGACGCGTGCACGCACGCACGTGCACGTACGTACGCACGTACGCACGCACGTGCGCACGTACACACGCGCGTGTGTACGTACGCACTCGCGCGCGCACGTACAGACGCGCGTGTGTACGTACGCATTCGCGCGCCTGTACGTAGACTTCAATGAGAATCGGCACTGAAACAAACGCTCCAGAAGACGGCAGGAGACTCGGTCCAGAATGAGTCGAAGACCCCGGGAAGCCTCGGTTTTGGGACAAGCCTTCACTGAGATAAGGAAGCCAGTCGACTCAGCACTGCCCACTGCACTGTACACAGAGCAAGCCTGAAAGCTGGCACTCTGCATATGACCGTATTTATTTGTATTGTGCCCTTTAAATAGAATTCATTATGCAATGCTTTGTAAATGATGAGTACATTTATAGGGTGTATATTTGTGCAAATGCAACACCTATCAAAACGGTTAATGTAACATCAGATCCATCTATAAATGGGGTGGAGCGATGGCACAGTGGTTCGCGCACTGAGCTATCAACTCAGCGACTTGAGTTGTGTTCCTGGCCACTGCCAACGTAAGCCGTGAGTGGAATCTGAACCGGCCCTTGGCACCATCTGCTTGTGGTCAAAACGTCAAAAGTCAAAATGATTTCCTGCTAAAGCAAGCATTGAGACGGTAATCGTCTTCTGTCTACAGCCCTGAGCCAGTGGTGGAAATTCCCCATTCCTACGGTGGGGGCAGAGTCTATCCACAGGACAACTACTGTTGACTCCTCCGCAAAGTGGTTTGCTATCTTATCTACCCCAGGGTGTATTATGGGCTGAGTTAACCCCCTAACCGGTATCAGCCACCATCGCTGGATGAATATCTAAATATATGTACATATATAAACAAGTGATCTGCCACCACACGGGGTCTATCCACTGCTGGATGAACACCTAAAAACCGTGTTCTGCCACTGTATGGAGTGGGTGGGGCGGGGAATACTTTGGAAAGGCAGCGAGTCCCATCGTGGGTGCAGCGGACAGCCGACCAGGCTTCAGGGCCCCCTTTGCATTCCACGGATTCTGCGCTCTTACCATCTTGGCTTTAAAAAACAAATAGTGCACCCTGCCAGCACGGCTCGCCAGAGCCGCGGCGTGTCAAAACACACGGCGCGGGTGGTATTTTTAAATCCCAAGAGCCGGCCGATCTAATTACCGATGCGAAGAGGCGCAACGTTATGGCCGTAATTCATGCAACGGTGTTGGGCGGAGCGTCGGAGCGGCAGGCTTGCGGGCAGCGACGCGCGACGGAGCCCGGCGAGCTGAGTTCGATTCCCGGCCGCGGCTAACACCAGAAGCCTCATTGGGCCTGGGCCACCCGCCCCTACACCGACCACGCTGACTGGCGTGGTGAAGAATGGCAAAGTAACTGCCATGTCCAACTGGCACGCCTGCACCGAGTAGGTTTTCCACGGGTGTTCTGTGCAACTTGCAAGAGTGTGGATGTTAAAGATCCCCTCACGTCATCCTCAAAAGTCGTGTGCCAGCGTCAGGGTCAACATTTTCCAAATTATCCGCAAGTTACTCAATTGGGTTTCTACAAATGTAGTTGCCCCAGAGCGTTTGGAACGGCCTCTTTTGGAACCAGCTCGTTTGGAACCATCTCGTTTGGAACCATTTCGTCAACTTGGCGTCTCCATTCTAGCATCTCTGTTCTCATTGCAACTGACTCGATGACATCCCTCGAGTTTAAGTTGTGAATGTAATCTTACAATACTCACCTCGCCCGTCGCCTCCACTGATATCCCCACCCCCCACCCCCCCAATGTGTGAATATACTACTGACTCTATAGTAGACACTACTGACTCTACAGTAGACACTATTGACTCTATAGTAGATACTACTGACTCTATAGTAGATACTACTGACTCTATAGTAGATACTACTGACTCTATAGTAGACACTGACTCTATAGTAGACACTACTGACTCTATAGTAGACACTACTGACTCTATAGTAGATACTACTGACTCTACAGTAGATACTACGGACTCTATAGTAGATACCACTGACTCTATAGTAGATACTACTGACTCTATAGTAGATACTACTGACTCTATAGTAGACACTACTGACTCTATAGTAGATACTACTGACTCTATATTAGATACTACTGACTCTATAGTAGACACTGACTCTATAGTAGACACTACTGACTCTATAGTAGATACTACTGACTCTATAGTAGATACTACTGACTCTATAGTAGATACTACTGACTCTATAGTAGATACTACTAACTCTATAGTAGATACTACTGACTCTATAGTAGATACTACTGACTCTATAGTAGACACTACTGACTCTATAGTAGATACTACTGACTCTATAGTAGATACTACTGACTCTATAGTAGATACTACTGACTCTATAGTAGATACTACTGACTCTATAGTAGATACTACTGAATCTATAGTAGTCACTACTGACTCTATAGTAGATACTACTGTCTCTATAGTAGATACTACTGACTCTATAGTAGATACTACTGACCCTATAGTAGACACTACTGACTCTATAGTAGATACTACTGACTCTATAGTAGATACTACTGACTCTATAGTAGATACTACTGACTCTATAGTAGATACTACTGACTCTATAGTAGATACTACTGACTCTATAGTAAATACTACTGACTCTATAGTAGATACTACTGACTCTATAGTAGACACTACTGACTCTATAGTAGACACTACTGACTCTATAGTAGACACTACTTACTCTATAGTAGATACTACTGACTCTACAGTAGACACTACTGACTCTATATTAGATACTACTGACTCTATAGTAGATACTACTGACTCTATAGTAGACACTACTGACTCTATAGTAGATATTCCTGACTCTATAGTAGATACTACTGACTCTATAGTAGATACTACTGACTCTATAGTAGAAAATACTGACTCTATAGTAGATACTACTGTCTCTATAGTAGATAATACTGACTCTATAGTAGACACTACTGACTCTATAGTAGATACTACTGACTCTATAGTGGACACTACTTACTCTATAGTAGATACTACTGACTCTATAGTAGATACTACTGACTCTATAGTAGTCACTACTGACTCTATAGTAGATACTACTGACTCTATAGTAGACACTACTGACTCTATAGTAGACACTACTGACTCTATAGTAGACACTGACTCTATAGTAGACACTACTGACTCTATAGTAGACACTACTGACTCTATAGTAGATACTACTGACTCTATAGTAGATACTACTGACTCTATAGTAGATACTACTGACTCTATAGAAGATACTACTGACTCTATAGTAGACACTACTGACTCTATAGTAGACACTACTGACTCTATAGTAGATACTACTGACTCTATAGTAGACACTACTGACTCTATAGCAGATACTACTGTCTCTATAGTAGATACTACTGACTCTATAGTAGACACTACTTACTCTATAGTAGATACTACTGACTCTATAGTAGATACTACTGACTCTATAGTAGATACTACTGACTCTATAGTGGACACTACTGACTCTATAGTAGACACTACTGACTCTATAGTAGATACTACGGACTCTATAGTGGACACTACTGACTCTATAGTAGACACTACTGACTCTATAGTAGACACTACTGACTCTATAGTAGATACTACTGACTCTATAGTAGACACTGACTCTATAGTAGACACTACTGACTCTATAGTAGACACTGACTCTATAGTAGACACTACTGACTCTATAGAAACTACTGACTCTATAGTAGACACTACTGACTCTATATTAGATACTACTGACTATTGTATTTACTTTTTACCCCTACACATGGGGGGGGGGCTGGGTGTCCACTTCCTATAACTTTTCAATTCGGGCCTTCTGAAAGGCTCTTATAATTTAGCTGACGGACAAACGGACACACGGAAGGCTGGCCTTTAATAATAGATAATTGCTATTATTCCGTTTGCTTGTTTTAAAACAAAAATCAATAATTGTGGAATTCTTTGATGTTGTCTGCCGGCACAAAGTCGCCCTCGCAAAAAGAGCTTCTTAGCTCTTTTGGGCTTTAGTCGGGAAATAAACTTCTGATCCTGACATAGCAATCATCGCTCCCTACTGGCAGACTAATGCCCAGGGTCACTCGTGCAAAGGAGACTCATCCTGGCCTCTCGAGTTTTCCCCTGGTTAGGCATCTGTCCAACGTTTCACTGCACGTGCTTCTCGAGGATTTTGAATCCAGTTTCGCACGGGGATGCGATACGATGCACGTCACACCAGGTGGCACGCGGTGCGGCCCCCGAAAACACGACAAAGAAATTCCCCAAGGCCAACACGGCGCAGGGGGCAACTTCGTCCAGCGGCGGATTGAACCACGGGGCCGCTACGTTACGTTCACCCAGATCTGTAAGAACGCTGGCGAAAAGAGTGAAGCAACGCGGACGCCCAGAATCAACCACACGTGACTGGCAGTAGCCACAGCCGTTGGCGAGAGAAGCACTGTATATGGTCCTCCAGGGCACTGACCTGGACACAGCCGGGTTTAAAACTGAGCCCTGAAACGAAGCCCTCCAAGTTGCAAAACACGCCATGGGACCAGGGGAGACAGACGGGCGTCAAAGGACGGAGGGACGCACGCGCGCGCATTGGCTCACCACAGACTCCATGTCGGTCAGCGTGATGGACTTCTGCAGCATCATCTTGTAGTAGGGGCGGATGAAGAACCCTGCAATACACGGCCACGCAGGCGCGTCTCGCTCAAAATCCTCAGCAGCAGCAATAGCAGCAAGCGGGTCGCTACTGAAGCCTCGATTTGCCGTCGCCACTGAAAGGGGTTTTTTTCCGGGTCGGGGAGAACATACAAACCCTACACATAAAGTCACCCGATTCAGGAATCGAACCCAGGCGTTTCCTGCTGCAAGGCAGGAGTGTTACCGCTGCAACGGCCCTGCCGCGCAAAGATCGCGCACCACGAACCGTCGCCGGGACGCGCCGACTCTCACCGTCCAGGAGCTTGCCGTGGTAGACCGCCATGCCGGCGACTCGCCCGATGAACTTGAAATAGGAGAGGTGCTCCTCGTTGCAGAGGCCAGAGTTGGGGTTGATCTGCAGCGTGTAGTTGTCCCTGCGATGTGGGGCATGGCCCCAGGGGGTCAAAGGGCACGTGGTCATCTATTTGTTTATTTATATATAGTCACACACGGTTGCTAAAAACGGGCCCAAAGGCCCAAAACTTCCAGCGACCGGCAATGAAAGGTAAAAAAATGATCGAAGTTGGAAAATATGAAAGGTAACGCGTTTCTTCGATTGAGCAAGGTTATTATTTTTGTAAGAGCTTGGGAAAGAGGCAATGGATGGGAGGGAAATGCAAAGTGGAGCAGTCGTAGTCACCATCATGCCCATTGACTTACGTCCACTCGTCGCAATCGATTAAAATTGAAACAAACACTCCGTTGACTAATATTTTTGCCGCGAATTTTGCGACGTCAGAATTAACACGGGTACACGACCAAGGCTGCGCGTCCGAAACGAAGATTCATCAACGAGAACAATGGATGACAGTTACAATCATTATGGGACTCTGGCGACATCACTTTGACACCACTACCAAAGACTTCATCGCGTTCTTCTGTGCGGCGGTGACGACGACGCTGATGATCACGGGCAGTTTGTCGTCCACATGATCAGCCTACTCTCAAACCTAAGCAGGAGAACTAGATCTTCCGTGAGTGATCATTCTTTTCCAACGCACCCGCTCTCTACTCATGGAATCGGTAGCTTGGAGGAAACCGAATCCCATCGCCACTCTGCGTCACCGCTCCGCGCCAGGGAACAGCATTGGGGGGTGGGAGGGTGGGAAGTGGGGGGTGGCGAGAGGGCACAGGCACGCCCAAGCACGAGTACGCACGTGGCCGAGTACTCGAAGAGCCCGTAGTAGGGGTTGAACATCTCCTTGGAGATGAGGAAGAACCACTCGCGCGCGACGCCGCCGTAGTCGAGCCCCTTCTCCGTCTCGAACTCGATCCAGAGGCGTGCCTTGAGCAGCTCGGTGCGCTTCACCGCCATGATGCGCCGGTACGACTCCTCAAGGATGCTGCCACGGCGCAGCTTCATCTCGAAGCGGTTCGGCACGTCCGTCTGCGGGCGAGGGGGACGCCGCGGCCCAGCCGCGCGTTAGCGCGAGCGGGCGGCCGCTGTGTCGTGGTCGTCGGGGGTGGGGGGGGGGGGGGGGTGGTCACAGAGCGAGGGCCTCGGATTTTTAGCGCCACCGCCAGCCCCCCCCCCCGCGCCCCTTATCCCCGCCACGAGAAATGTCCGCGGCTTTTATCCCTCCGTTTTACTTTTTTGCGCGTACTCATGTATGTTGAGCTTCTTTCGCGCCGTACGTAGCCAACCGTGTGGGTGAAGGACAACGAACGAACAAACTGAACACAAAAAGCAGTTCTAAAGCAATGAGTTTTCAAATCGAGATGGTTTCAAAGGGCATAGCTCCCAGTGACTTCCTAACATCGAAAGGAAGAGCATTGTATGGCCACCTTGACCAGGGGTCTTCCACTTAAAAGAGCCCGCGCTGGCTCGAGTTCTCGCAATCAACTCTCCGAGTCGGATTGCGGGTGAAACCATAACGATGCGACGAATCCCACGGTGTAATTTGGCCATCATAGTCACAGCAACTCCAAGTGCTTTCTGCCGGTCGTCTGCCGAGATTAGAAACGTGAACTTGGGGCATCTGGCTGCGACGCAAATCCACGTGAAAAGCCACTCCATTGAGCTATCACTTGCGGCCAGGTCGCATCTGAAAAAGAGTTTATATAGCTCAGTGGGCCTTACCTGGTAAACAATAAGAAGAACGTAGTTTTGTTTGCTGGAACTTTGAAATAGCTTCACAATTAGCGCCTCACATTTCAAAACCCAGAACTGAAATAACTGAGGGGAACAACAGCGGAGCGTTTGGCATCATCTGATGCCGCCTCGTCACCCGCCTCGTCACGCGCCTCGTCACGTGCCTCGTCACCCGCCTCGTCACCCACCTCACCACGCGCCTCGTCACCGCCTCGTCACCCGCCTCGTCACCCGCAGTGGCACTGCCTCGTCACCCGCCTCGTCACCCGCCTCGTCATGTGCCTCGTCACCCGCAGTGGCACTGCCTCATCACCGCCTCGTCACCCACCTCACCACGCGCCTCGTCACCGCCTCGTCACCCGCCTCGTCATGTGCCTTGTCACCGCCTCGTCACCGCCTCGTCACCGCCTCGTCACCGCCTCGTCACCCGCCTCGTCACCCGCAGCGGCACCGGGTGATTTAAAGAGCGACCTCGTCTCGAGGGTGCCGCCGTGCCACTGTCGCATTTTCCACGGTCGCCGTCGCCACGGTTTCACGGGCTCCACCAAACCGAGCACCACCGTTCCACGCCCTCACCCCCCCTATTCGTAGCCCAGAGCCTAGGCCCCCCCCCCGCCCGGCGGGACCCCGGTGCAGTTGCACTGCCTGCACACCGGACGGCGACGCCACTGGACGGCATCTTCCCGGCCGCAAACGTCACGGGTGCCACCTTTCGCGATTGGCAGCGCCGTGAGCGCCGTGAGCGCCGTGAGCGCCGTGAGCGCCGTGAGCGCCGCCGCCACCGCGCGAGCGAGCGCGGCCGCGGCGCCGCTATTGAAAGTGTCGCCGCGGCACCTCCACGGGCGCCGTCGACGCGAGCGCTGTCCGTGAGCCCCTTGCGCGGGGAGGCGGAGATTGTACGTGGCTCCCCGGCCTCGCCCACTCACCGGCTTTTTTAGTTTCTTGCGGAAGAAGTCGTACTTCTGTTTGTAGTCCCGTGAATATGGCACGGCCTGTGGGAAGAACGAAAACGCCGCTCTCGTTCTTTTGAAGAAAAAAAAAAACCCCAATGTATTCATGCATTCCAAAAATATTTCACCGGCAAATTCGCTCCGCGAAGGGATATTTCATTTTCACGTTTCGCGCGCGTTGAGCGGCGCCGGAACGGGCTTAAGGCGGCGCTGTTAAAGTGGCGGCGGCGCTTTGAAAGCACGAGGAAGAAAAATCGTGCGTACGCGTGGATCCTTTAACGCTTTTTCCAACGTGCATTTTTTTCCCCTCAGAATTGGCGATAGCAATGTTCACTTCGGGCCACGCAACGAGCTGACCGCACGAGTCACGACGTCGTCGGGAGGGGGTGGCGTAAACGCGCTTGGCCGCCCAGGTAAATCCTTACAGCATTGTTGTTGTTGTTTTTTTTTAGTCAGCGAATTCTGGGCAACGCTTGGAAAAAGTTGCCCAGTTTTCTACCGGGGCGCCGCGGTTGGCGAGATGTTAACTACCTCGCCTGGATAAAAATGCACGCGGCCGCGGGGAGAACATGCAGGCATCATGGTCGGGAATCTGACCCATGACCTCCTGTACACCAGGCGAGGTAGTTAACATCTGGCCACCGTGACGCTCCAAGGCAAAACAAGGGGTGCCCTTGCCCAAGTGCTGCCACTCACCGGGCCCGTGATCGCCGGGCTCTGCAGTCTTGGGTCCTCCCACTGCGTGTTCTTGGTGTCTGAACGAAACACATTCATCAAGATGCATTTAGACGCCTACCACTCAAACAACCTCCGCCGGACGACTCCCACACCGGAGTGGCACACCCGTGACTCCGCCTGGCTCGTTTTAGCCGGCACCATCACCACCACCATCGTCAGCGAGCTGGCCGGCATGACTGCTCGCAATCGGAAGGTCGCGAATTCAAAGCCTGGCTGGGGCCGGGGCCAACCCGCTTTGTGTGGAAGTCATCAGTGGTTATAACTTATTGATAGACTCACACTCCCACTGTAGGAAAAGTGACATTTCTGCCACCAGCTTAGGCTGTAAACGGAAGATAAGAGTTCAAAATAACTCGGAAACAAACCCCTTGTGAAAGACAGAGCACAGAAGATCCCTGGGTTTGATCTTCCACGAAGCTCATGGTCCACCCTAAACCGCATCCACTGCACAAACCAGGGCAGTAGATGCAGACGGCTGATGCACAAATGGAAAATTAAAAACTCTCCAGGCGTGCATGACTGTGGTCATCCAGAACAGACCGTGCAACATGCAAGGACGTAACGCCCGATCCACAAATACGACGGAGACATCGCAGCGACGCACTCCGCTGCTGTTCCTGACGCGGTTGTCTGGCTCGACCACCCGAACGCGACATCTCAAGTTGTTGTTCTGCATCCACCATCGGCCGTACGAGAGCGAGCGAGCGAACGAGAGTGATCGTTCGAACGGCAGCAATTCGCCGTCGTGACGAGCGACGCGGCGAGCGCGGTGCGCCGGGTTGTGGTGGCGGCCGCCGCAGCGTCCCTTACTGTGGTCGATGTAGAAGGTCCTCCCGTCCGTGTGCACCCGCTCCTCCCAGCCGGGCTGCGGACAGGGAGGGGACGGCAAACGTCTCGCTCAGAGCGCACGGCAGCGGCGAGAGGCTCCACGGGAGGCTGCGCGAGCACCACTCACGGACGAGGGTTCGCGGTGGGCGGCGGCAACGAGTGGCAACGTGTGACGGTGGGTGGCAATGGGTGGGAAACGGGTGGCAACGTGTGACGGTGGGTGGCAATGGGTGGGAAACGGGTGGCAATGTGTGACGGTGGGTGGCAATGGGTGGGAAACGGGTGGCAACGTGTGACGGTGGGTGGCAATGGGTGGGAAACGGGTGGCAACGTGTGACGGTGGGTGGCAATGGGTGGGAAACGGGTGGCAACGTGTGACGGTGGGTGGCAATGGGTGGGAAACGGGTGGCAACGTGTGACGGTGGGTGGCAATGGGTGGGAAACGGGTGGCAATGTGTGACGGTGGGTGGCAATGGGTGGGAAACGGGTGGCAACGTGTGACGGTGGGTGGCAATGGGTGGGAAACGGGTGGCAACGTGTGACGGTGGGTGGCAATGGGTGGGAAACGGGTGGCAACGTGTGACGGTGGGTGGCAATGGGTGGGAAACGGGTGGCAACGTGTGACGGTGGGTGGCAATGGGTGGGAAACGGGTGGCAACGTGTGACGGTCGGTGGCAATGGGTGGGAAACGGGTGGCAACGTGTGACGGTGGGTGGCAATGGGTGGGAAACGGGTGGCAACGTGTGACGGTGGGTGGCAATGGGTGGGAAACGGGTGGCAACGTGTGACGGTGGGTGGCGGCAGTGGGTCACGGGGGCCCAAAAACCGACTCAGCGGCTCGCGTTATTCAGACGAAGCCCGCACAGCAAAACCTCTGGAGGGCGCAAGCTCCCCGCGTCAGAGCCCGCGGCGGACTCGGGACGCGGCCCGCGAACCCCGTAGCCGCTGCGTGGCCGTCAGTCCACCGCGCCATCTCGTTTGCGGACATTCGTTTTCAAATTGGCATTGACGAAAAATTGTGGTGGTGGCGGGTTTAACGACACAGTTATATTCCCCCCTCCCCGCCACACCTACGGTGCATGCGCCGAGATCGAGAGCGGAATCGGTTTGGACGAAACCCTCGCTGCCGCGGGGTGAGGTCGGAGGAGAGATGGTGACGGAGGGCGGGCGGTGTTCAGGCGGTTTCTCACCGGCTGGGTTAGGGTTGGTGTTGGGGTTAGGGATGCGAGTTGGAGACAAGAGGATGGGTTAGGGGTGGGGTTACCATTAGTGTTATGGTTACGAGTTGGTTCATGTTCGGGTTGGAATAAGAATGCGATCCAGGGTTAGGTTGAGGATAAGTGCTAGCGTTAGGTTTAGTTTGAGGGTTAGGGGCTAGGGGCTCTGGCTACGTCAGCATGAGGTTGATCGTTCGATTATGGTTAGGGCTAGGGGCTACGTCTAGCGTGAGGGTCGTTCATCGCACACACACACACAGACAAGCACACACATAGACACACACAGACACACACAAAGACAAAGATCCCCCATATAGCCTTAACAGACTGTAGGGGCAAGTGCTGTTAGTGAGCACCTATGAAGGCCGGAACGGAACACGAGGGGGTGGGTGGCCAGCACCACGCCCGACCGCCTTTGTCTCCCTAGTGGCGAAGTGTACACACTGCACCAGGTACTTGAGGCTGAGTCGACCTAGGGGAGGCCCAGGACCGGTTCAGATAATCGTCACTGGTGTTGGCCGTGAGCAGGAATCGAACCCGGGTCACCAGGTTTGTAGCGCAGCGCGCTAACCGCTACGCTATCGCTCCCCACAGACACACACACACACACTTATATACACAGACACACACACAAAGACACACACACACATATAGACACACACAGACACACACACACAGACACACACAGACACACACAGACACACACACACACAAACGCACACCGCTGGCATGACACTCACAGGCAGGGGCCCCAGCTCAGAGGGGTCCAGACTAGGCCGGGTCCGCATGTGCACAGGAACCTTTAACCGCGGGTCGTCCTGCCGTCAGCGCACACGCACACGAGCACAGCGCACAGCACATGCAGTGGCGCTCATAGCAGCAGCGGCGGCGGCGGCATCGGCAGTCCAACAGGCAGGTGCGGGGCAACCAGGGGTCAGAGTGCACAACACCTTAAGACATCGGAACAATGTCGTAAGTTCCGTTAAAGAATAAGATTTTGTCGCAACTCGAAATATTGGGTGTCGTAAAGTTACGAACATTTTTTACGAGCGACCAGGGTCTGCGTGTGTACGTTGAACTTCTTTCCCGCCGTACGTAGCCAACCGTGCTAATCGGAGGTGCGGGGGAAGGACTAACAAACTGTAAATAAAACATCATCGACGTTGTTTAACATGAACAATACGTACCTCGGACAAAGACCAGCTGCTGAGGACAGAGTGATGGCTTCATGCGGGCCACGTTGCATTGGTGGGGGGGGGGGGGGTTGTTTCCCTACAAGGCGATTGGCCGGTCTAGCGCAAGTCACGACGTAACCCCTCGCAATATCTCTCGTGAGAGTTACGTTCTCACTGCGACATCTGCAGCTACTTCGACGTACGATCCATTTTATCTTACGACGTCGAGGATCTTGCTACAGCCGCAGCCCGCCTGCGACACGTCATGAGAGAACTTAGCGAACTCTGGCCCCAGCTCCACATGCCCCCCGCCGCCTCTGCCCGCAAGCCGTGCTCCTCACCAACAGTATCGTTCGTGAACTTAATGATACGAACAGGGCAGATTCATCGTTTAAAACCCTTTCCTATTCCGTCAGTTTTTATTCCGATTCCATTCCGATGACGTGCGCGTATGTACGTCATCGGAGCGCGGCACACGTGGGGTGAAAAGAGGTGAGGAGAGTTTTTGTTTTTTTAAACATCGCCACTGGGGAGACAAAGGCGGACGGGCGTGGTGTTGGCCAGTCACCCCCTCGTGTACCGTGCCGGCCTTCATAGGTGCTCGCTAACAGCACTTGCCCCAATAGAATGTTAAGGCTATATGGGGAATATTTGTCTATGGTTATACTGTACACAGAGATGAAGGTGGACACTCTGTTCATCAGCTGATCCATCAGATAAACCCTCGAGGGAAGAGGCGGTGCCACTCCCTTAGGTTCATCCACCACGCAGCCACTACATCTTCCTCCTGTTACACAGCTATGTGGAGGGGTGGTCTCGTGTGTGATCTGTGGAGGTGTAACAACATCAGCGACCGCGCACATGTTTTTGTCGTTTGTTTTTTTACATCCCATCAGCCACGCAGACTTCTGAGAGTGCATCATTGCAGCAGCATTGGTTGAACACAAGCAAACTCTGGACCGATTTCAACATTCAGTACCTCTTTGATTTAAAGCTTTCGTGACTGCAGGGATTCATATTCTTGGTTCTTTCGGTAAAGTCATGTAGAAGGGAAACAATAAAATAATAAAAATATAAAACAATACAATTGTACGTGACTTTACCGAAAGAACCAAGAATATTCAGTACCTCATCGGCAAAGTGAGGCCTGCTTGACCCAATGCTCGTGAACTGCCAGATGTCCATAGGCAAGGATCCTCGTTGTCTGTGTGTGTGAAGTGTGAAGTGTGTGGATGGTGGGCAGGCCAGCTTGAATGTTTAAAGCTGGCACCGGCGTTCCTACGAAGGGGTCCACGTCTTGCAAGCGTAAAAAATAGATGGCCAGAACGCCGTATGGAACCACAGGCTAGGCAGCTTCCACACGGCTTCACCTATGCTGCCAATACAAAAAATAACACCCCTCGACCGATTTGAAGTGAGACCTCCAATGTCAAGACAGAGCTGGTCATGAGCCAATTGGCGACGAACGTGGCCGGGCGTGGTGCTGGCCACCCAAAGCCTCGCGTGCCACAGTGCCGGCCTTCATCGGCGCTCGACAGCAGCGCTTGCCCCAACAGCCTGTTGAGGCTACACGGGGAGCGGGGTCTCTGTCGTCTTTGTATTGTCCAGTGGGGAGCACGCATCACACGCGGTGCATCTGCCAGCCATCTCGTTCGTGCGCGTGGCGTGGGTGTGACCGTGTTCACGCGAGGTGGCAAACGCGCGCGACCCCCTCCCCCCGTACACACCCACGTGGTCGTCCGCGCATTGTGGTCGATGAAGAAGGGGCGGCCGTTGGGGGCGAAGCGCATCTCCCAGCCGGGCGGCATGAACGCCGTGCCGGAGCTCGGCTTGTGCTGCTGCTTGGGCGAGCCGAGTGGCGAGCCGTCCGGCGAGAATTGGGGCGACTGCGGCGACGGGAAGGGAACTCTGTTCCGCTTGGGCTGCGTCGCCTCCCTCAGGTTCTGCGCGGCAGAGAAACGGCAATAAACATAACAAAGCTGCGTCAAGTTCAAATGCATGGATGTGTGTCGGACTACCTTCGCACCGCACGTAGCCAACCCCACTAATCGGAAGCTGCGGGAGAAGGACGACAGACGAAGCGCAAAGAGCAGTTCGACGGAAATTTAGTTTTCAATTTAGATTTAAAAGTGCATAGCTCCAGTGGCTTCCTAATATTGAAAGGAAGAGCTTTCCAGACGGCCGCAGACGCGTATCTGAAAGCGCGCGATGCGCTGACCGTCTTTGCCCAAGGTGGGAGAGATTCATCTCTCAGGTGGAGGTGAGAGAGATTAATCTCTCAGGTGGAGGTGAGAGAGATGAATCTCTTAGGTGGAGGTGAGAGAGATGAATCTCTCTCAACCTCCACCTTATCTACATCCCTCTTCTCTCATCTCGCCACATCTCGATCTCTTGTCTACGTCTCTTCTAGCATCTCACTCGGAGTTGATACATTGTCCGGAGGCGCGCGCAAAATCTATTTTCTGCTGAGGGCCCCCATACCCAGTGGGCAGGGCCTACGTTCGGCTGCGAGCAGGGTCGTGGGGTCACGGGCTGCGGGGGAGGGAGGGAGGAGCAGAGTGGGGAGCAGAGCTGTAACCTGCCTGTAAATTTATCGTCATCTTTTCAAATGGGTACATGACTCAATTCATCACCGTTGCTTCATGCCTTATATATATTAAAAGGATCTTTCTTGCTACGACAGCAACAACGCTCGTCTTTCCCTCAGGGCTACGATGCGAGCGATGCGATCGCTGGCGGAGACCGCCGTTAAGCGGCCATGGTCTGGCTCTCTCTGCCGGTTCTCACCAGCCCAGCCACTGTCTTGCGCTAACGCTCTGCACGCGATTCAGCGACGTTAGCCGAAAAATCAAGGTTTCAGGCCCGCTCGGCCGAAACGCGAACCTTGACGTGCGGTTTCACGGGCCCGCCACCTCGAGCCACGTGGGCACGACTAGGGTTGCCACCTCTGAGATTAAAAAAAAAAATACCGGCACATATCGTGAAAACAATAAGAGGAAGAAGAATATCTCACAATATCAGAGGAGAGAACTGCACAGAAATTATTTTCCTTGAGTGGTGCGTATTTACACAACTGACAAAAACCAGGATATTTATTGTCCTGGGAAGACGTATAGACTTCCTAGCACAGCTGCCCCTATACATTGCTGGGGGAAAAAAAACGAGGACAGCCGACAAGCCCAGTGGCAACGCCCAAGGAGCATTTTCTGTCACGGATTCTGATGGCTACGTTCGTCCGCCGCCCCCTGCCGCGGTTGAACGTCTCCCGTCACAGACACTGCCCCCCCCCCCCCCCTGCCCGCCTTCCGCCGGGATCCATCGTGCGTCAACGTCGTTCTGCGGCGCTAAACGTGACTCCATTTTCCATTTTAAACCGAGGGGCCGGCGTCGAACGGCTCCGGAGAGCCCCGCCGTTTAACCCCCGTCTCCGCTGGCCCTCTGCGCCCGGCGGCGGACGCCGGGAACATCACTCATCTCTCCGTGTCGACACCAGCGGTGCCCCCCACCCCCCCCCCCCCCCCCACACCGGGGTTCCTGCCTCCGGCACGTCCTCTCTCCGTCACACCGAACCAACACGCCCGCCGCTCTACGTTGCATTCGGACGGTTTGGCAACGGTGGAAATTCCCTTCTTCGATCGCGGTGACGCGGTCACCGCGAGCCGTCACTGACAGATTCTGGGCCAAAGCGGAATGGAGCCGTTGGCTCGAACTGCCGCTGAAAAAATACACGGAGCGGAGGACGACCCCCGAATGACACCCCGCTGGGGGACGAACGCTCTCGCACGCACGTAGCGGCGGTATCACGAGGGCGGTCGTGTCAGGCGAAGGGTGGTTTGCGGTGGGGAGGGGGGGGGCAGGAGCACCCCCAGGGAGCGACCGCACACGCTTGGCCTTACCAGCCCCTCCCCCCGCGTGGCCTCACCTGGCCGCACGTCCGCCAAAACTGAAGCACGCTGAAACCCGCGACTTAATGAGATCGGGATTATATCGTTCCAACAATTTGCCCCGAGATGAGATCATCTCCCAACGGACGGAGAACCACAATTGAATTATCTTCCTACTTGGTTCAAAACCTATGTCTCTCGTGTTGATTTTGTTCTCAGGCTCACAGCCAGGGGCTTAATTTCTCACTGAATATATTTTTTTTCGGGTTGCCAGAAGAGCGGAGCGGGCAGCACGTGACAAGAAGCCGGAGCACGGAGCGAGAAGCACGGTGGACGTGGTCTGCCGGGTGCGGAATTACATTCCGGGTCGCCGCCCCAGACAGATCTGCTTCGAAATGACGCCCTGCATGTAACACCATATTCCCAGTCACGAAATTTCAAACCAAGTACAGCGTTTAAAGAGTGCAGTACTCCCCTCTGTAACATCCGTCCGCCCTGTCAGCTCCTCCTTCTCAGCAGTTTCCCTCAATGGAATGACAAGCCAGTAAAAAGCATGCATTGCAATTCAGGACGACGCCACGGGCAGCTGCTCACCCCCCCGCTTCTCTTTTCACCCTTCGGTTGTGGCGGAGCGCCGATTGCGACCGCTCCGTTAAAAACACTCGAGCTGTCGACACGGTGTTTGCCTCCACGTGCGTACTTTGTATATACAACAACAACAACACCAAAACAACAACAGGCAATGGAACAATGTCACCACGGGCATGCACGACGACGGGACACGGTACGAAACGGCGGAAGCCAGATGTGGATGGATTCCAAATACACAAATGCGCAAGCGTGACACCACGCACAGCGTGCTTCCGTGTGTTCGCTTCTCTTTTCCCAAAAATGCTTATTCTCAGAGGAGCGCTGTCGACGACAGAGTGTCCGCCCGGACCTCCCGCAGAGGGGCGCATCGCCCCGCGTGGAAGGGAACGGCCCGCAGAAGTGAGATGTCACGGAACAACTTCTGAGATCCCTTCAAGTGACCTCTTCCAGCCTCACACCAGGGGGCGCTGCACTGCGTGCCACGTGCCGTGCTGCAGAGAAATACTCATCGCATGGCTGCAAGTCGAACCGATATTTATACATCTCAGATTGAGAATTTTGCCAAACTGATTCGTAAAAATACATTTAACAATTATTAATTGTTTTGTGCGTGTTTTTTGGCCATTGGCGACCGGGCTTAAGCCACAAACTCACTCCGCTCCAGAGAAATCCCGTGGCCGAATCTGAAATCCATATTCACTCGTAACAGCAGTGGCACTAGTATAAGTGGCAGTGGCACTAGTATAACCCCACTGGGCTACCAGGCTGGGCTACCAGGCCTCACTTGCGCTGGTGGATTATCTTCGATTCATCTGTGATGGGGGGTGGAGATGCTGGCAAGGCGTGAAGCACGGGCAGGTAGGTGGGTGCAGGTGAGAGAGAGAGAGGTGTTGCAAGGAGAGAGTGAAGGGAGTGAATCGAACCTGAAGGCCGTGCAGGGGCGCCAACTGCCGGGGCAAAGGGACATCGACAAATAAATCACGTGTCCAGCGAGTTGCCGAAGAAGCTCCCGACCAGCACACGCGGAGGAGCAAAACGACGTGCATCGTGCCGGAACAACACGCGGTAACATCACGAGAACGCGTCAGAGGGCTTTACGGGGCTTGCATGGGGTGGCACAGTGGTGACACTCGTGCATCTACAACAACAAGAGCCTGGGTCGTTAAGATTCCCGACTCACTGCGGCATTTCAGTGTGGCATTTGAATGTTCTCCCCCCCCCCCCCCCTCCTGGTGTGTAATGCGTTTCTTCCGAATTCTCAGATTTCCTCCCAGTGTCAAAATAAAAGTAAACCACGTACAATGTAACCGGTATTTTTTCCAAACACCCCTGTGCTCAAAATTTGCCTGCAGATTTCTCAATTGCAATCGCGCGGCAGCGGCGACATCGCCACCCTACTGCGAAATCTTTGCAGGACCCTCCTGAGCAAGAGTCCTGTACTGCAGTGGCGTGCTGCTACCGCTGCCGTTACCACCGTTCAGCAGGGGTGGGAGGACTCGCCGACAAACATCGATGCTCAAACTCACGACGCCCGCATCGAATCACGCGCGCAAGGGAACCAAACCCTACGTCCGTTGACGGCCGTCGGTTTATGCCTGCGACAGCGGGTAACCAAAAACGCTGAACACTACAACAGCTCGGAATCCGCAGCCCCCGAATCGCGACGGCTCGCCGAATCTGTCGGTGGCCGGGGGGGCGGAGGGGGGGGGGGGAAGCGTCCTCGCTATTGGCATTCAAACGACGCGCGCAGTCCCTCCGCGTGAGCAACGGCCGTGACCTTCAGGCGTCGCTCCCTCCTCCCACCGCCATCCAGGCGACGGGCGCTGCCGGTGAATTCTACGCCGTCCGCGCCGATTGCGGGCGTCCGACCGCGAGACGGAACGGGGAACCCATTGGCGGTCGTTATCGCTACGATTGGGAGCAAAGGACATCACCCCCCCCCCCCACCGCCTGCCACCTCCGCTCTGGGGGGGTATCGCGTGAAAGGCAAAGGTGCGGCCCTGCAATTGCTCACACAAAGTCACTGCCGGTGGAGGAGGCTCCCCCCCTCCATAAAGGGGAAGGCGCAGGCTTCCCTCGCTGCATGCGGTGGTCGGAGTAGAATGTAGATGGTGGTGGTGGTAGATGGTGGTGGTAGATGGTGGTGGTAGATGGTGGTGGTAGATGGTGGTGGTAGATGGTGGTGGTAGATGGTGGTGGTAGATGGTGGTGGTAGATGGTGGTGGTAGATGGTGGTGGTAGATGGTGGTGGTAGATGGTGGTGGTGGTGGTGGTAGTAGATGGTGGTGGTAGATGGTGGTGGTGGTAGTAGATGGTGGTGGTAGATGGTGGTAGATGGTGGTGGTGGTAGATGGTGGTGGTAGATGGTGGTGGTAGATGGTGGTGGTAGTAGATGGTGGTGATAGACGGTGGTGGTAGATGGTGGTGGTAGATGGTGGTGGTAGATGGTGGTGGTAGATGGTGGTGGTGGTGGTAGTAGATGGTGGTGGTAGATGGTGGTGGTGGTAGTAGATGGTGGTGGTAGATGGTGGTGGTAGATGGTGGTGGTGGTAGTAGATGGTGGTGGTAGATGGTGGTGGTAGATGGTAGTGGTAGATAGATTTAAGAAACTTGCTCCACGCCAGGAGATTGACTCGAACCGGCGACCTCTGCAATGCAAGTCCACTGTGCTGACCCGTCACACCACGAAACCCCATGGCATAGCGGATAAATATTGTCCTCTGGCGCGCACCGAGCTAGAGCAACGTGCGCTTAAATGCCGCGTGGGTCCCAGCCTCCCGCAAACAGCTGCACTTGCGAGCGATGTGCAGCGAACGTACGTACAATGGGGTACAGATTGAGTTCGTACAGCGTCTACTCAGCCACCGCACACCAAGGCGCGGTACAAAAACAGCGGGCATATTTATTTTACAGAGAGGCTGTCAAGTCATAAACTAAAAACTCTTTTAAAAAACAACTATAAACTAAATTTTGATTTAAAGCTTTCGTGACTGCAGTAATTCATATTCTTAGTTTTTTCGGTAAAGTCACGTTGAAGAGAAACAACAAAATAACAAAATATATATAAAACAATAAAAAATTCTGACGACGTTTCGACCATAACTCAAACGGTCATCATCAGGTGATGATGACCGTTTGAGTTTTTTATTGTTTTATATATATTTTGTTATTTTGTTGTTTCTCTTCAACGTGACTTTACCGAAAAAACTAAGAATATGAATTACTGCAGTCACGAAAGCTTTAAATCAAAACTATAAACTATTTTTTATTTTACCAGGTAATCCCCACTGAGCTTATCGCTATTTCTCAGACGCGGCATGGCCGCATATGATAGCTCAACGAAGTGGCTTACCGCGTGGAAATTTATCACGGCCAAGTAGGCAGAGGAACAGATTGACGGTCTTTAGCCTGGGCCTGAACACGGGCAAGGGAGTCGATAACGTGGAGGGCTGGGGAAAGGGAGTTCCAGACTATGGGCAGAGCAGAATAGATGGAGCAAACCCCCCACTGAGCGCAATTTCAGCGTATTTCAAGACACTACAGAGAAATTCATGGCATGAAAGTGTGTGTTTTTTTTGTGCCAAGGTTCATGTGTGTGAGCATGTGCGTGTCATGTGTGTGTCATGTGTGTGTCATGTGTGTTTCTGAATCACCCGAGTCAGTGAACCTATAACAACTTGGGTCTGTCCTGTGACCTCCCAATTAGGCGTGGGCCACATCATTTGGCCTCAAAGCACACCTAGCCTGCCGCAAGTTCTGTGGGGCATCGTTGCAACTTGACACTGAGTTACCATGAGCCCACGTGACCTTAGTTTGAACTCGAGCTGCTATCCTGGCAGCGCGTTTCAAATATTTTTCAACACGAGTTGGCCACGAAGTCGTGTGTGTGCTTGATTGTGAGTGCGTGCGTGCGTGCGAGTGTGTGGGCGTGAGCATGTGTATTGGTATGGGGAGCAGTGGCGGAGCGGTTAGCGCACCGCGCTACGAACCCAGCGACTATCTGAACCCGTCCTGGGCCTCCCCTCGGTCGACTCTGCCTCAAATGAGGACCTGGTCCGATCTGCAAACGTCACCACTGGGGAAACAAAGGCGACCGGGCGTGGCCCTTGCCATCCTTCCCCTCCGTGCGCCGTGCCGACCTTCATTAATGCTACTCGCTAACAGCACTTGCCCCAACAGTCTGTTGAGGCTATAGGGGGGAATCTTTGTCTTTGTGGTGCGAGTGCGGTGCGTCCCAGCATCGCACCTCTCGGGGGCTCGAGGGGGAGCTGAGGCTGCGCGGGCGCCGCACTTGCACCTGCACCTCCGCCTCCCCGTTGGCCGGCGCCACCGCCCCGGCCACCGGTACCCCGTCGTCCACCAGCTGCAGGGGGCAAAGGTCGCGGGTCAACGACGCCTCTCCTCCACAGCCATCGCGGCGACACGTTCCGCCGTTGCAGCCCTCGATGGGCGTGGCTGGATTAACAGGTGTCGCGGCGGTGAGATGTTAACTACCTCGCCGGGTATGCAGGAGGGCCGTGGGTTCGATCCAGACCGTGACGCCTGCTGTGTATTTGGTGTTTGCGTGTCTCTCTCTCTCTCTCCCCGTGGTCGCGTGGATTTTTCTCCGGGTCCTCCGGTTTTTCCCTCCACATTTAGAGTCACCACGTGATAAGCCACTTTTTGTTGAGCTATCACTTGTGATAGCCAGGTCGCTTCTGAAAAGGAGCTATTTCGCTCAGTGGGCCTTCGCTGGTAAAATAAAAATTTGTTTCATAGTTTTTACAGTTCATTTTTTGTTACAACCGGCACTGGTCATGCATTTGCGTGGGATCCACATCCAGGGTGGGGGTGTGGGGGGGTAGGTGACATCAGTGCGACGCACGAACCCGGCTCAACATTTCGTCTCCGTTGAACAAGGTCGAACTCATGGCACAACGCATGGCCAATTCCAAGTGTGTGTCTCCGTCGCAGGCTTAGAGTGGCCACTTGAAGTCAGGCACACAGTGTGGGTCAGTGAGTGTGAGTGGGTGAGTGATCGAGTCAGCGAGCGAGCGAGTGACTGAATGAGTGGCGAAGCGGCAAAAAAGCGGCGTGCGGTGCGCTGGGTGGCGGTGGAGGTGACGCAGCAGGGCAAGTGCGGGGGGTGGGGGGGTGACGGCCGACCTGCATGACGGGGCGTGTCCACGTGGTGGTGCGGTTGTTGTGGTTGACAAAGTACGTGCGGCCTTTGTCGTCCTTGCGTTCCTCCCACCCGGGGGGCATGCCCGGCGTGGTGAAGAGCTGGGGAACCAACTGCACGCACGCGCAGAGACAAAGATCCCCCGCATAGCCTTTAACGGACTGCTGAGGCAAGTGCTGTAAGCGAGGAAATATGAAAGCAGCCACGGTACACGAATGGGGTGGGCGGCCGGCGCCACGCCCGGCCGCCTTTGTGTCTCCCTAGTGGCGACGCTTACACATCACACGAGGTACTCACTTGAGGTCGAGACGACCTAGGGGACGCACAGATAAATCGTCACTGGGTGTTGGCCGTGAGCGGGAATCTAACTCGGGTCACCGGTTTTGTAGCACAGCGCGCTCACCACTACACCAGAATCATAGTGCAGCGTGCTAACCGCTACACCTGAATCGTAGTGCAGCGTGCTAACTGCTACACCTGATTCATCACGCAGCGTGCTAACCGCTACACCGGATTCGTAGTGCAGCGCGTTAATCGTTACGGTGGGGCAGACGCAGGGCAAAACAGGAAGCCGCGCACGTGCCAACCAACACCTGCCGAGCGCCTGCCGTGGCCCCGCCGTGAACGGGGCGTCCAACCTTTTGCCAAATTTTGCGAAACGTAACATTTGGGGGGGGGGGGGATGGGAAACCTAGACGCATTTGACCGGCGGCGGTTCTAACGAAGCTCTCCTCCTTTCACCAGCAGCTGCCGGACGCTGCCCGTCGGCGGACGCACAGGATGCAGTGGTGCTCCGGCCGCACATGGCCCAACGATCGCGCACGATCTCCCCCCCCCCCCCACCCGGTTACCCCCCTATTTGGTGAGCCGCTGCCGGAGGGGTGAAGTGCGGTGGGCACAGCCGGGTTGGGCGGCCGGGCCGGGCCAGGCGGCTATAAGAATGTAAATTCACGAACCACTTAACATTGACCGGAGTCAGCCGCCTGTTTTGTTGCTATTCATAGCCGGGGCTTCGAGCCCGAGCCCTTGTGGGAAGCCACCGCCCACGCCGCCGAGGTGGGGGTTCCTCTCGGCGACGGCGGCCGTGGTGGTGACGGTGCTGACGGCGGCGGTGGCGCCGGCGGTGGTGACGGTGGCGCTGATGATGACGACGATGAAAGCGGTGGTGGTGGTGGTGTTTGCGGGAGAAACCGGTCTTGGGGAGCTGTCATCGTCCACTAAAACCGTCCACTCAGCCGCAAACAGTTACCCTGGCGGAGGCCAAATCAATGCAGGGTTAAAGAGTCCCGGGAGGATTCTGCACGAGGTTTATACCCATTCACGTTTGAAACGACGGGCAAGTCTCGTACAATATCCCCCATCCCCTACCGCCTCTGTCCACCCAGAATTACAAATGAGTGCACCGCGGGTCACGTGTGCGGTGGGGTGAAATGTGCGTACTCGCACCGTCTTCCAGGACGTGGAAGAGTAGGCCAAAGTTACCCCTCCAGAGCGGCTCTCTATCGCTCCCTCTAAGTGGAGGCCCCTTCCTTCAGCAAGGGCGCGAGCGCGAAATCACCGGGCGGCACCTTCGTACGCACGTACCCGTACGCTGAACTTCCTTTGCACCGTGCGTAGCCAACCGTGCTCACCGGAGGTGCCGCGAGCACGGTTGAATGACAAAGCGCCGCTGCGCGTCTTGGTCACGCAGCGCACGGTCAGGTCAACGCGCCCCCCCGGAACGCGGACCCGGGAGGCCACTTTGCCTTGCCGTCATAAAACCGCTCCGTTCATCGGCTTCGCTTGAACGAGGTAAGCGCCCGTTTATAGACCGAAGGTCTCTTGTTCGTCACCGGCTGTCAGGGCTGTCACACCTTTATTGATGCCCTGCGACGATTGCGAATAATCACGGGGTGAAGACTGGCTCGTTCTCCTTCGTTGTAGGGCTGATGTTGATGGAGAGCGACTGATTTGACACAGTATAGGTTTTTTTTTGGGTTGGATCGCGTAAATATAAATGTGTCGTTAAACCCGCCACCACCCGACACAGCCAATTAGTAAGGTTTGTCACGTAAACAGAACGTGCCAATTCGTTACTAGTACAGCGACACCGATGTGTTTGGGAGAGCAAAACTAACTTTACGTTAATGTGGTTGAGCCAGATGATTGTAACAGGAGTATCGGAGAGCATCGCTGTGATGACGCGTCCTTCACGATGATCTATGTACTGTATGAGCCTAACAGTCTTTATGTGAGTCTACGGGTCTCAGAGTGAATCTATAGACCTCTGCCTTATTCTTCTTCGTGTGGCTGATGTTGATGTAACGCAACGACCCGAATTTGACATCGAGGTGGCTGGTCGAGCCAGACAATTGCGTCAGGAGTAGCGGAGCGTGCCGCTGTCGTGACGCGGCCCTTCGCATTTGCGCGCCGGCTGACGGCACAAGAGGCCGCGGGGTCACAGGGGGGGGCAAACTGCCCAAAAGTGTCGGGAGGTCGTGAGGCCGCACGACGGCGAGGGTGCGCGTCGGACCCGAACTGCCGAGCGGCGCCCGTCGTGGGGTTTTTGTAGCCTCCGCGAGGTTCCCCTCGACTGGCGAGCAACCGCAATGGCACGGCTGGAATACGCTCGTGACGGCACGAACAAAACATCGCCCGCGCGGTGGAAATTAGTACACGGAAAGTAAAAAAAAACTGGGGTGGGTGGGGGCTGTGGGGGGGGGGGGGAGGGACACGCTCCAACAGAGACGCGGACCACCGAGTTGCCGCCGCCATCGGGCGCAGCAAGGAACGCCCGCGGGGGGTTTTGAGCGCATCGCCGCTTCCACGCCATCCACAACCCCTTCCTCCGTGACCCTCCGTCTCTGTCTCTCTTTCTCTCGCACGACAAGTAAGCAGACAGTTCGCCTCTTCTTCCTAAAAGCTGTACCAATCTATCGTTTTTTTTAAATAATTATTCCGGTCACGAGTCCTGTTCTGTTGTGATGTGTGCAATGTTCATGGTGATTGTGATGGTTACTAGTGTTACTTGAAGTCTGTTGTTTGCACAGGGACGCTATTTTACCAAAAGCGTTTCTATTCCTCGTTTTGCAGTATTTGATCGAATCTTACTCCTCACTCTAGATGCACTCTTTTGCAATATGTTTCTCTAATCTTAATTTTCACTTCAGTTTAATATATAATTCGGTAATATATTTTTATTTTTTGACTTTTTTCATTGCTGTATTTATTGCATTTATTTAAAAAAATTGCGACCTGTTGCAAACGTTGTTTTTATTTATTTTTTTGTTGATGAAACCCGATTCAAGAGCTTCTTACCTCACAGGGCAATTCTAAATAAACTATTCCAAGTAAAAAAAAAACAATAAAAACGAGTTTTTTTTATTTTTAACACATCCCATCGGCTACTCACATCCCATCCAGAAGAGCGTGTGACAGGGTGAGGAGGTGTATTGTCTGCTTCTTTATTTTGTTCCTTATATTCTCTCATTAGGGTTTGTTTTAAATTCTGTTGCTGTTGCTATCGTTATTAGTGTTATTACGACCACGTTTATTTATCCGGGAAAGTTAAAATTTGAAAGTTTGGCCAAATGTGGACCATGACGTCAGCACACAATGGCCGACCCTTCTTCGAATGACGTCACAGGATCTCTCGAGTCCACCGCGATGGTGGCAGCATGACAGTTCAACGGTTGGCAAACCTGTAGCGTTAACCAGGGCAGCCTGCCGGATTCAAACCGCGAACCTCAGCACTATTGGAACCAGTGCTGATTTCATTGGGTCGGTGGGGGGGGGGGTGGGGCCCTGAACAACACGAGCCCCCCAGAATTTCAGATGCCCCCCCCCCCACCTCCCACCCCACCCATTTTGCGGCAGCTCCACAGGAAGGCTCCAGGGGCACCCAATGTCCGGTTCAAGAGGGCATCGGTGTCCAGTGCTGTTGATGTCACCACAACTTGCCATCGCCGCCTTCCTTCGGCCACATCCCTCAGCGGACACGTCCCTCAAGGAAACGACCTGACAGGATCCCCTCCCGTCTGGCTTTGGGGCTCCACGGTGGCTAGGAGATGTTAACAACCTCGCCTGGTGTACAGGAGGTCGTGGGTTCGATCCCGACCCTGACGCCTGTTGTATATTTGGAGTATGCGAGTCTCTCTCTCATCATCACCACCACGGTGGCTAGGAGATGTTAACTACCTCGCCTGGTGTACAGGAGGTCGTGGGTTCGATCCCGACCCTGACGCCTGTTGTATATTTGGAGTATGTGAGTCTCTCTCTCATCATCACCACCACGGCGGCTAGGAGATGTTAACTACCTCGCCTGGTATACAGGAGGTCGTGGGTTCCATCCCGACCCTGACGCCTGTTGTATATTTGGAGTATGCGAGTCTCTCTCTCATCATCACCACCACGGTGGCTAGGAGATGTTAACTACCTCGCCTGGTATACAGGAGGTCGTGGGTTCCATCCCGACCCTGACGCCTGCTGTATATTTGTAGTTTGCATGTTCTCCCCGTGGTCGTGTGTATTTTTCTCCGGGTCCTACGGTTTTTCCCTGCACATTTTAGAACCAACGCGCGTTTAGAGTATTTAGCTGCTATCAATCTCGCACATGATAAGCCACTTTGTTGAGCCATCATTTGTGGCCAGGCCACCTCGCATAAAGAGCTCTATAGCTCACTGGGCCTTACCTTGTATAATTAAAAAAAAATTGTTGAAGAGAACTGAACTGGTAACCTCTGGATTGCAAGTTGGGTAACTAATAGCCATAGCGAATTATATACTGGATGTGGCATGCCATTGCAATGCCTGTTCTGGTGACCTGTCCTCCTCCACCTCCACTCTGAGGCTGTGGATATGGGTGCCACCAACCACCCCCTCACCCCACTCCACACATTTAACGGTGCCCCCCCCCCTCAGCACACCGCCTGTTTACTGGCCGGATTGGGGGACAGCGCCGATGTTAAGAAACACGGCGAAGATACCGCACGAACATGAGCCCTCTCTTTTTTGTTGTTATTAATTATTCTATTTTACTCGGATAGTCCCTTGACGTGGAACGCCTGCGAGCCTGTCCAGGGTGTGGAGCGCTAAGCCCTAAATCGTCGAGCTCCGTGGCTACAGGGGCCCACCTCCTCCCTGACCGCTAGCTGAGACAGCTGCTATGTCCAGACCGCAGCACGCCTGACTGACCAGACAAGAGTCCATTGGCATCACAGCAGGAAGGCAATATGAGAACCCCCCCCCCCCCCGTCCCTCCCACCACTGCAGCAATGGAACACTCCAATTCAAACATCACGCGCACCTCTGCAGTTGTCCCTCCCCCCCCCCTTTCTGCGCCCAGTGTTTGGCTTGGCCGGATTAATGCAGGAGCCCTGCGGGGCAGCGACGCTATAGCAGCACCGTGATGATGATCCTTAGAGTGCCATTGGGTCATTACAGCCAGAGCACGTCTGTGTGTGCTTTACCGCCGGTCATGTGCCGAGACGAACCGTAGAGTCTTCCGTTTTAATGTTTGCTTTAGCTTCGCTATTTGTGTATCATCACATTTTTTTTTTAAACCCAGAAGTGAATAAACCCAGGGGGAATAACAGTGGAGCGTCATCGGCATGGGTGGTGGTGAAACAGTCCAGGGCAGGATTTGAATATAAAACCTAAAAACTCGTTTTATTTTACGGGGCAAGGCCCACTGCGTCTGCGTCTCATCTCCGTTTAAGGCAAGTGCTGTGGTTTCATAACCACATTCGAACACTGCTGTTACATTTCACAGTTCAAGCTCATGTCCCAAAATAAAGGATTTGTTTAATTTCTATATTGATATTTATTTGTTTTACCAGGTAAGGCTCACTGTGCGACGTAGCTCTTTTTCAGAAGCGACGAAATGGTTTGTTACGTGCAAATTTATAGCAGCCAATTTTTCAAAATATCCAAAGAGGCGGGGGAGGGGCCAGGGGGGTCCTCCCCAAAACTGTAACAGCCCCGGGCCCCCCTTAAGCTTAATCTGACCCTGGATGGGAGGTGAGGGAAGGGCGAGTGTGGGTGAGTGCGGGGTGGGGGTAGCAGCGTGCGTGCCAGCTCGCTCACCAGCGTGTTCTGCTGCGGCTCGGAGAGGGTGACGCTCGCCGATCGTGCCCTCCTGGAAGCCAGCGCCTGCGGGGAACAGCGACCCGAGCTGAAACCACCCGCGCAGCGTTCTGCATTGCAAGGCCCTCGGGCTGCTGGTGGCCCCTGGTGGCCTTTAGTGCGGCACTTGACGTGTGGCCCGCCGACAATACACAACGGGTGTGACAGCACCTACCCCCCACGTCATTGTGCTGTCACAGACCCAACAATGGTTTCAAATGTGTGGCGGCCCTCTGGAAATGCGTGAAGAACGCTGAGCTACGGTGTGACGTCATGACGGTGCTTGCGCCAGGCTAGGTGCGCTTTGAGGTGATGAGACGTGTCGAAGGTTTGCAGGCAGGAGGTCAGGGGACAGACCCTGATGTCATGAGTTAGCTGAATGAGATGAGTGGCATATGCACCAATTGTGACATGTGCTCCCCACTGACAATACAAACGAAAATAAGGCAAATATCCCCCGAATAGCCTTGACAGGCTGTTGGGGCAAATGCTATTCGCGACCAGCACCTATGAACATCGGCACGGCACATGAGGGGGCGGGTGGCCAACACCACGCCCGGCCGCCTTTGTCTGCCGAGTGGCGATGTTAGCACACCGCACCAGGTACTCATTTGAGGCTGAGTCGACCTAGGGGAGGCACAGGGCCGCTTCAGATAATCGTACTGGTGTTGGCCGTGAGCAGGAATCGAACCGGGGTCGACGAGTTAATAGCGCAGTGGCACGAACCACTGCAGTACCGCTCCCCACAATACAAATACGCACAACAGCCACACGCAGCTGTCCACAAGGGGCTCCATGTCATTCGCCACCCCCCCCCCCCTTCACTGAGCGATTCGATCGACTGTCATGATTCGAGGCAGCGATCTGTCATGCGTCTCAACCTATTGGCCGTCATCCCTTCCCGCTGGTCATAAAGAAACGCGACGAGACCGGCAGCTTTGAAGACCGACAAGGTGAAATTTCTAACCGCCTTCACGAATCTGCGAGGTCGCGTAAGGGTAACGGCCTCGTGCTACCCTTAAGCCGTGGAGCGGGCAGCCACACGCCTGTGACCCGGCGAGCCGGGAGGCAGCGTCGGCAAGTAGGTTCGGAGAGACGGGCGGCCTCACCGTGGCGGGCGTCGTCTGCTCGGCGAGGGTCTGCGGCCTCAGGTCGGCCTCGTCGGGCGAGACCAGGCGAGCGCCGTCGTCGGTGGAGGTGGTGGGAGACGGCGGCGGAGGCAGCGGGGAGCGCGGGGAGCGGTCCGACTCGGGCTCGATGATCTCCCACGTCAGCTGCACGCAGGAACGCGGGGACACACGCACGTGCGCACGAACGTCCAATAAAAGGACCTCGGCGGAACTGAAGAGGCTTCGTAAAAATTGTCTAAAGTAAACGAGGTCGGGTCCGTGCGCACGACCGCCAGACAGATTTCACGTCGCTTGGGTGGTGTTTTTGGGTTGTACCGCGCGTCGCTCGGCACCACGACGGACGTTTCACTGCACGTGCCCCAAAAAATGTCCCTCGAATCCCGAAGAAGCTCTCAGAACGTGGGGCGAAACGTCGGGCATCAGCCAACGCACGGCGCAGCCCGAAAACGCATAAAACAGCCGCACAGCCACCGCGAAATACGGGCACAGGAGGGTTCTGTCACTACCCACGGAGGCGAGGTCTAGGGAGGGCTCGGGGTTTCATAATTGTTTTTTCTGGACTCGTTCAGACTCGGCGCAGAAGTTGTGCATTGTGCAAAAACCGTCAGCAGTTCCTGAAGAAGTGCGTTGCAGCGGTGAGCATTTGGTGACTACACTGCAACTGATGAGTCCCATTAAGGAAGAAATCTGTCTCCGTTCTTCTATCTGTGCACCAGTGCTGCTGTCAGTCGGTCACATTGACTCACGGCGGTCACCTCCAGGCAAGAGGGCCATAATGCACTTCTTCAAGAAATGCTGAGGGGTGATGGGTAGTTGTAAAAAAAACAATGCAACGCCATGATGGCTTGCGCAAGCCGCGGTGATCTCTGCCCCGAGTCCTCTCCCTGTGCTCTACAACGCACCGGCGTTTAACATGCCGGCCACCGTGTCGTGATGCGTTTGAATAAATCCGTATCCTGTGTTGACTGCCCCGCTCGCCTTGTATATTGCTGTGCTTGCACCGGCAAAAGCAAAAAAAAATAAGTTACGTAAATCTAACTGAGTAAATAAACTTGGCGCGATTGAAGATGCCTCAGCTGCAAAATAGTCAGACTAATTCCACCCTGCATCCTTGTGTTCTTGTGAGGTTTATTAAAATATTTGCATTTATACGACCGGTAACTGCTTTCAACGGAAAGGTAAAACCCCGGTATATCGAGCGTGTTAAACGCCCGGCAATAAACATAACAGCTTTTGCCCTCATAACCGAGCAACGGCGAAGGGAGCTGCCATGGTCATAACGGTTAGCAGCACGCCGGCACAGAGGACGGCGGTTCGATTCCACCTCCCGGCGTGCCAGCGAAAACCAACGGCGCCGGTTTCTTCGACGGCACATCGCCTCCGTCCGCCCAGCGGGTAAATAAGCGGGCTCGCCGCGGTAAGCCGGTCGGCAGGCCGCGCTGCGGTGGGATAAAAGTGCGGGTGACTCCCACCTCTTCCGATGCAGCGGCGTGAGCGGGCATTTCGCACGGCGGCACCGGCGCATTTCCATTTCACCGCAGGATATTTGCCCTCAGGAATCGCTTTACCGGTCCTGGGACCTTCGGAACCGGTGATCAATCCCGAAAACGGTTACCACCGGTTAGCGTTCAACAAAGGCCTAGTTCATATTCTTAGTTTTTTCGGTAAAGTCACGTTGAAGAGAAACAACAAAATAATAAAATATATATAAAACAATAAAAAAATTCTCACGACGTTTCGACCATAACTCAAACGGTCATCATCAGGTCTGAAGATGACAGACCTGAAGATGACCGTTTGAGTTATGGTCGAAACGTCGTGAGAATTTTTTATTGTTTTATATATATTTTATTATTTTGTTGTTTCTCTTCAACGTGACTTTACCGAAAAAACTAAGAATATGAATTACTGCAGTCACGAAAGCTTTAAATCAAAATTTAAAGGCCTAGTTCTCGTGAACCTCAACAGCTGATCCGCCACGCACAACCGTCGTGCCGTTCGTCACTGTGCCAGCAAAACCACGGTGTAAATACACGGGTCTCCCTCGCCGCACGCGGCACATGCGCTCCGAGAGAGCGAAACCGCACGAGACAGCTGCCTGCCGAGTTGCGCAGGCAGTACGGCGCGAGGTGTTGTCGCGCGTCTCACCGCATAGCCGCAGCCGAGTGACTTCAAAAGCCGCACAATTGTCATAGTGCCTTTTAGGTAGAAATACGCTGGCCACATATATATATACACACAGTGCAAAATCACACAAACCCGCATAAAGCGAGGGATACTGGTAAATGAACCTCATGGCGGTACCCCGGGGTCCCACCATAGTACCCCGGCTCTCGCACAATGTCCGTGATGCAGTCATTTTTAGTCTGTTGATGGTCTGCGATGCGGCAATCGGCTCATCTCGACGAGCTGTACACGATGCACCACTATGGTGCGTAAGAACGTTCGGGGTTTCGGCGCAAGCGTCCTCGCTGCGTTTCGACATCGCGGATTGGCACTGATTTCGGATTGATTGGTACCCCCGTCCGGAGTTGAGTAACACCCCTGGAAAAAAATAGTGTCCCAGAAATAAAGTATTTAATTGCCTAGGCCATTTATTTGGTATCCCGGGGTGCCGCCATGAGGATCATCTATCATTAAACTAGGATGAAGTGAAGATGTTCTCTTGGCTGCAAATATTCATCCTCATCGTTCCCTATATCCTCCTCACATTGTGAACTTTTGGCACCACAACCTCACGGGCTCATTGTCGTCCTGCCGCCTCTGACCTCCTGGCTTCCTGTCTGCCTAACCTCGCGACCCCGTGACCCCGTGACCTCGTGACCCCATGGCCGGCCAACACGCCCTCATCCGTGTACGGGGGAAGCGACGTACGTCGGCGGAGTCACGCACGTCGCCGGAGTCCGAGTCCTCGGTGATCTGTCTCCGCGAGCAGAACACGGTCTGGGCCTGCTGGTCGCTGCGCTCCTCCGTCGCCTGCACGTCCTCCACCGGGTCCCTGCGCCACCGCACGGACGACCGACACCACCGTTACGGACACCGCCGTTGACGGCGCCATCGTCGTCGCCTGCAACGGCGCCTCCTCCATCGCCGCCTCCACAGCCGCCTCCACCGGGCCTTAGCCACGATCGCGGCACTGAGGGCGTCCATGAGCCGGAGCAGAAACCGCGACCACCGATGGTCGCGAAACTTTATTCACACGGCGAACGAGAGCGAACGATTTACTAGCCCCGCTCATCTCAGACGGTTACCCCGCAATCCGGTGCTGTTGGCCACATGAACACATTTGGGAGCCGCCGAAGTTTTGTACGTATGCATGTTCAACTTCTCTCGCACCGTAAGTAGCCAACCGTGCTAATCGTGTGAGAGTCCACGACCCCGTGACCCCCCGGGTGGTTCCCCGACAAGTGAAACGTTTGCCCTGGCCTCATGGGACTAGGGTTGGTGGATCACACAAATTCGTGAACTCCCCACACGCTCCCCCATCCTCTAAAGCAGTGGTTCTTAACCTGGGGTACACGCACCAGCTAGGGGTGCTTACCCCCTAGTCCCCCACGCTCCCCCATCCTCTAAAGCAGTGGTTCTTCACCTGGGGTACACGCACCAGCTAGGGGTGCCTACCCCCCTAGTCTCCCACGCTCCCCCATCCTATAAAGCAGTGGTTCTTAACCTGGGGTACACGCACCAGCTAGGGGTGCCTACCCCCCTAGTCCCCCACGCTCCCCCATCCTCTAAAGCAGTGGTTCTTAACCTGGGGTACACGCACCAGCTAGGGGTGCCTACCCCCCTAGTCCCCCACGCTCCCCCATCCTCTAAATCAGTGGTTCTTAACCTGGGGTACACGCACCAGCTAGGGGTGCCTACCCCCCTAGTCCCCCACGCTCCCCCATCCTCTAAAGCAGTGGTTCTTAACCTGGGGTACACGCACCAACTGGGGGTGCGAGATGCCCTTTCTGGGGGTACGAGACGTGGCCCGGTTTGTTTAGAAGGTAAATCATCGAAGCACAAATGAAGTACGGGCACGTGAGTACAACTTCCTTGTTTCATCAAACCGATGTATTTGTTAACGATTGGGAACGAAAGGGGTGCAAGGCTGCAAGTAAAGGTTAAGAACCACTGCTCTAAACTAAGGCTAAACTTTTTATTTTACCACGAAAGGCCCATTGAGCTTTTTAGCTTTTTTTTTAATAATCGACCTTGCCACAAATGATAGCTCAACGAAGTGGCTTTTATTTCTAACTACGTGACTTTACCGAAAGAACCAAAGAGCATGGATTCCTGCAGTCACGAAAGCTTCAAATCTAGATTGAAGTGGCTTCTGATCACGTGGAAATGTATAGCAAAAGCCGAATACTCTGAAGGCGTGTTGACTCTGAATGCGGAGGGAGAAATCGACCACGGGGGGGACAAGGGGGATATTTGTCTTTGTGGGTCTCCTGTATACCAGGCGAGGTCGTGGAAATGTATTGCAGTCGACTACTCTAAACGCGTGATGTTGATTCTAACAACCGGAGGACCCGGAGAAAAATCCACGCGACCACGGGCAGAGAGAACACACAAACTCCAAATACACAGGCGGCAGGGTCGGGTTCGAACACACGACCTCTTGTACACGAGGCGAGGTAGTCAACAACTCGCCACCCTCTCCCAACCAGTGCGGGCGGCGGGAGGCAGGGGTGAGTGGGGTAAAGGGGGGTGGTAGACTCACAAGACGGTGGGCCGGTGCCACTGGGTGCTGCGGTTCTTGTGGTTCACGTAGTAGGTGCGGCCCAGGTTGTCCTGCCTCTCCTCCCAGTCGGGCGGCAGAGCCGGCTGCTGCTGCTGGCCCGGCCGCTGGCTCCCGCCGCCCTCTATTGAATCCACCACCTCCCAGCCGGGCTGCGTGGGAGGGGGGCGCGTCGACGGATTACGAGACGTGGGTCACGGGGTTGCGGAGCGTCACACGGGCAGTGGTGATTCAGTTTAACACGTAGTAGTAGCAGCAGGCTTTCGCGACCAATATCATCCACAATAGAGGGCTTTTTTGTTGGGTCAGATCACGTAAATATATAAATGTGTCGTTGAAACCCGCCATCACCCGAAACGTCGTGCTCAGATTGTAAATGTTGTGGCTTGGCTCTCCAACACACCGGTGTAGTGCTGTACTAGTGACGAATTGGCCACGTTCTATTTACGCGACGACCCTTGCTAGTTGGCTGTGTCGGGCGGTGGTGGGTTCAACGACACATTTATATATTTACTCGATCCGACCCAACAAAAAACCCTCTATGATAGTGGTGATTTAGTCGGCAGTTTGCATTTCAGTCGGAGTCGAGTCGACGGCAACTTGCGGGGCTTCGGGCGAGTCCCAGTCGGTGGGGGGGGGGACCTTGTGAAGCCATCCTGAGCCGGGGTGGGGGGGGGCAGCAGTCGTGCTCATCGTCGCGCCTGCAGACCTCCCGTCCACTCGCAGCCCCGACTCCGGCTTAGAGCGTCCAACGACACTTTGTCGGCGAACAATTTTCGTCGCTAAAATCTCGCTTTGATCAAATTAACGCCCTTCATGCGGTCGCAGGGAATTCTGTCAACGCCGAGCATGCCGGCGCTGTTAGGGTGCTGGTTGCTGGGTGCTGGTGATTAGCGTGCTGGGTGCGAGTGTTTGCTGGGTGCGAGTGTTTGCTGGGTGCGAGTGTTTGCTGGGTGCGAGTGTTTGCTGGGTGCTGGGTGTGAGTGTTTGCTGGGTGTGAGTGTTTGCTGGGTGCGAGTGTTAGGGTGCTGGGTGTAAGTGTTTGCTGGGTGCTGGGTGTGAGTGTTTGCTGGGTGCTGGGTGTGAGTGTTTGCTGGGTGTGAGTGTTTGCTGGGTGTGAGTGTTTGCCGGGTGCTGGGTGTTAGGGTGCTGGGTGTGAGTGTTTGCTGGGTGCTGGGTGTGAGTGTTTGCTGGGTGTGAGTGTTTGCCGGGTGCTGGGTGTTAGTGTTAGGGTGCTGGGTGTGAGTGTTTGCTGGGTGCTGGGTGTGAGTGTTTGCTGGGTGTGAGTGTTTGCCGGGTGCTGGGTGTGAGTGTTTGCTGGGTGTGAGTGTTTGCTGGGTGTGAGTGTTTGCCGGGTGCTGGGTGTTAGTGTTAGGGTGCTGGGTGTGAGTGTTTGCTGGGTGTGAGTGTTTGCTGGGTGCTGGGTGTGAGTGTTTGCTGGGTGTGAGTGTTTGCTGGGTGTGAGTGTTTGCTGGGTGCTGGGTGTGAGTGTTTGCTGGGTGTGAGTGTTTGTTGGGTGCGAGTGTTAGGGTGCTGGGTGCGAGTGTTAGGGCGCTGGGTGCGAGTGTTAGGGTGCTGGGTGTGAGTGTTTGCTGGGTGTGAGTGTTTGCCGGGTGCTGGGTGCGAGTGTTAGGGTGCTGGGTGTGAGTGTTAGGGTGCTGGGTGTGAGTGTTGGCTGGGTGTGAGTGTTTGCTGGGTGTGAGTGTTTGCTGGGTGCTGGGTGTGAGTGTTAGGGTGCTGGGTGTGAGTGTTTGCTGGGTGCTGGGTGTGAGAGCCCACGTCGGAATCCTCGGTCTGGGTGGACGGTTCCTCGTTCATCCCGTTCTGCGGCAAGTACGCCATCTTGAGCCGGAGGAAGCCCTTCACCCGCGATTTGTGACTGGCACGGGAACAGCATCGTCATCATCAGTGCCATAATTTACAATTAACTTACAGCCCTTTGTCAAATTCACTGCTGGGTTAAGGTCTCTCTCTACCACCCCCCCCCCCCCCATACTGTGTCGGTCACGGGGGTTGTTTGACCAGACCATACTTCACCACGCTGGTACAGGTTGGTGAAGGTGGAACGAGTCCAGGTACCGGTTGCCGTGGCTGGGAACTAGACTTGGGCCGCCAGATGCATAGCGGAGTGCAAGAACTACTGCGCCACCACTCCACGTGGCATTATTACTATCAATAATACAAAATGTATATCTTCGTTAGACTCGAATAGTTTATGGGTGTGTTAAGCTTCGCACTTCTACGTTTTGTTATTTTATTTAGTTAGGTGTTTTTTCCTCTGCATTGCCCCACATTTAACCATGAGTGAAGTCGCCTGTCGTCAATTCACGCGGGTGTCCTGCGTGTTCCTTTACTGATCCTAAGGAACGCGTTACATGTTTTTCCCTACACATTTACAAACATGCGTTTAGACTATTTAGATTATTTTGCTGCTATAAATGTCCAAATGATAAGCTACTTTGTTGAGCTATCGTTTGTGGCCTGGTCGCGTTTGAAAAATATGTTAATACCTCCAGTAGGCTGAGAATAGTAGGATGGGGATGGTTTAGTTTTGTTTGTATGTGTTTGGGTGATTTGTTTAACTTTCTTGAACTTTGCGCTACTATCATGGTTTCTTTGTATACTGTTTATTGTTGTAACGTTCTTGCCCACTGGAAATCTGTGAAAAAGAGCTTGACAGCTCATCGGATTCTTCCTGCAGTATCAAATATTCTGATTCTACAATTGCCCGCCAGCCTATAACGGCTGTTGATGCATCGTGGTGCCCAAACCAAGGACGTCCTTATCCTCCAAACTCAAACCCCGCTGAACTCCCTGGAACCTGATATGGTTGGGCCACATTCGGGGGGGGCGGGGGGGGCGGTTTCAGCTCTGGCAACAAGCGCTTATCTCGTGATCAATAAGAGCTCCAGGCTCACTGGGTAGGCAGCTCGTTCGTCTTTGTTTTGACAATGTATCACGTGGCAAATTGTTTGCCAGCGTCACCTCTGGTTTTGTTAACAAACGCAGAGCAGGCATGCAGGTGGCACACACAAATACGCAGTTGTGTGCACACACACACACACAGAAGACAGATACAGATATATATACAAAAAAGAGACAAAGATCTTACTCTAGCCTTTAACAGACTGTCGGGGCAAGTGCTGTTTGATAGAACTTATGAAGGCCAACACTGCAGACCAAGGAGTGGTGTGGTGAGGACCTGCCCACCAGTGCTGATGTTTACATACCACACCGGGTACCCGTTTACGGCTGAACTGAATTCGGGGAGGCCCAGGATTGGGTTCAGATACGGTATTTGTCAGTGATGCTGGCCGTGAGCAATAAGAGCTCCAGGCTCACTGGGTAGGCAGCTCGTTCGTCTTTGTTTTGACAATGTATCACGTGGCAAATTGTTTGCCAGCGTCACCTCTGGTTTTGTTAACAAACGCAGAGCAGGCATGCAGGTGGCACACACAAATACGCAGTTGTGTGCACACACACACACACAGAAGACAGATACAGATATATATACAAAAAAGAGACAAAGATCTTACTCTAGCCTTTAACAGACTGTCGGGGCAAGTGCTGTTTGATAGAACTTATGAAGGCCAACACTGCAGACCAAGGAGTGGTGTGGTGAGGACCTGCCCACCAGTGCTGATGTTTACATACCACACCGGGTACCCGTTTACGGCTGAACTGAATTCGGGGAGGCCCAGGATTGGGTTCAGATACGGTATTTGTCAGTGATGCTGGCCGTGAGCTGGAATCGAACTCAGGTACCCCAGGTTTGTAGTGTGGCCTTCTAACCACTAAGCTACCGCTCCCCACTAGGCTACCACTTTGACACACGCATACTTCGGGTGGCTAACACACACAAAAAACCCGTATCGCTGTGATGAATGTAAGTCTTAAAATGAATTAACAGATAATACACCTTCACCAATCTATCTCTCTACACAAAAACATCAATATTGTTTTACACATCTCATCGGCTACGCGGCCTTCTGGCGATGGAAACATCTGGCGGTTGACCAGCATTGATATAAGCAAGTCCGACCCTGCTGATGAGACACTGCCTATCGAAGCTGGCCCGATCTGGTATGGGTCGCCGGGCTCGTAACAAAAGGTTGCTGTAGCAAGCGGCGCACCTCCTCGGCCGCAGAATGAAGTCCCTGAAGGTGTAGGGTCGCTCCCTCGACGGGTCTTCTGTCTGCAGGGAGAGGGCATTTAGAGGTTCGCGTTCAAGACGACAGCGCGAGACCGACCGAGGGCACGTGCTAGCCCAGGGGTCAGCAACCAGAAGCATCAAGAAGAGCCATTTTTTTCATTTGATAAAAACTCAACATTTCAAGAGCCGCTATGCACGTGGGTGCTAGACTGTGGTCAATCCAATCATGGACAAAGGCCTCCCAAAAACATCGCCGTCTTTCGCGGTCCTGCGATGCAACAATCCATCTGGCGCAGGGCTCGGAAACCAAAATAACAAGAAGAGAAATTCTTTTTTTTCGAATTCGGTAAAAACAAAAACAAAACCCTCAATATTTCCAAGGGCCGCAATGCACCGTGTGGTGAATACGAGACGCTGGTGGTCCTTGATGAATGAGCGTCGCGAAGCAGTCGCCTTAACGAGCCGCTACCACCCCGTGCCAGCCTGAACCCAATGTGTCGAGGCCTGCCGAGGGCACGTGCCAGGCTGACCCAACCTGTTGTGGCCGTTCAAGTAAAAAAATGATTGAGAAAACTGGTGGCCTAGGGGGAGGGGGTTTTTGCTGATATTTACGCTCCACTGCGACAGGGCAGTGTGGATACCGCATGACGTGGATACCGCGTGACGTGCGGACGTTTGGCGTTTGATTCGAAGTTCTTGTGTAAAGCCACACCCCGTAGGTGAGTCTCATGCGGCCAGAGCAGACTTTGGTACCGCGAGAAAGTGCCACATATTTATCCAGGCTGTGTGTGTGTTCCCGACGAATAAACGTGGATTATGCGCGAGCGTACATATCACATTGCGATTTAACACGCGAAGTTTTCGGAGCCGCTTGTAACCCAAGCGTGCTTTTTCCAAGTTGGGCCCCACTTTGAGCACCCCGTCTCTTAAGACGGAGTGAACAAGGTCATTGCAGAGTCACTTTCATCAGAAATTAGAAAATGTTTGGTACAACTGCATTTGTGCCCATCCCAGGTGGTACCAGCAAAGAAAAAAGATTTGTGTCTTGGCCCGTAGACTGAAAGTGATGCCTGTCCTGGTTAATAATCTTCAGACTCAATGAGGGTTGCTCGGATAGATACATAAATGGCATTACGAATAAATAAACATGCAGTGTTCATGAATAACAACGGTTTGTTACGAACACGTGTATTTACGAACAAATGTATTGAAGGCCAAATGTATTTAAGGTTGTCAGTTACGTAACCAGCAAGGTCCAGCTGAGTCGCAAGGCTCTCGACTATCTCTGTCTAATGCTGGGTGGTGTGCAGTATCAACCTCAAACCCTGGGGGCACACACCTCTGCCTCTCCACGTTTACCAGTCTACTCCATTCCAGTGCTAATGAAGTGTTTACAGACAACACACGCCTCGGGTTTTTTTTTTGGCTCAACAATAGCCCTTACTTGTGGGAGAGCATTGATGAAAAGATAAGACACCTCGTGTGCGAGTGTGTACACCCGTGTCCCGTGTGACGTTGCAAGAGATTCAATTTAAGATAGAAGTCGTATCTGTGGGCACGGCATGGCTGGAGAAGAGATGGGCTGATGTGGTACAGAACAAGAAGGATCTGGAGGTAATTTGACTTGCTGATGACCGGCAAAGCAGTGTCAAGATCGGCCCCTGTGGAGCAGGCGGCTCGTGAACGACACTACCGGGCAATTGGAGACAGTCGCTCTCCGGCAAAAGCGGAGGGCTCACAACGAGTAGAGCGTCGGGCGGCTAAATTGAGGTGAAGGTGGCACAGTAGGGACCGCAGATGGAGCATCTGCCAGTAATCGCAGTCAGTTAACCCATAACAATCAGTGTCCGTGACCTCCTGCAAGCAAACTTTCGATTCTAAAAGTGGTGGCCATCAGAGGGCACCGAATCTGGTACAAGCGCCACGGTGATGTCACCACCACTTTAGTGTCGAACTGGTGGCTGCTGTTGTTGTTGTTTGCGGTGGTGTCATCAGTTGTAAACATGCAGAGAGCTCATTCACACGAAGACTGAGATCTTTTGCACACGTGTGTGTGTGTGTCAGGTGTGATCACTCGACACATCATCGGGCACGTGTGGCTTGCAACCGCTTAAGTTGGAGATGCACGGAGGTAAAGTGGGAGATGTGGAAAGACGAAGCCGGGTGGTGGTGGTGGTGGTTGTGGATCAAGATAACTGTAGTTTGAGAGACGGTCATCTACAGTGAGTGACGAGGTAGAGTTTAACAGAGCGACGAGGTGGAGGTTTAACAGAGCGACGAGCTGGAGCCAGTGATGAGGAGCGTCGCCGTCGATCGACACTCGACGGTGCGAGACGAGGGTGGAAGGGCAGCTGACTCACCGGCAATTGGCTGAGGGAGGTGTCCACTTGTCCCAGGAAATCATCTCGCGTCTAACGCACAACACAACGGCCACCACCGGCGGAGTCAATCTCACGACCAAAACCAGCACCCGCCGTTCACCGCGAAGTGACGGTGACGTCGGCCACGGCGCCTGTGCCAGGCCAGGTGCACTTTGCCAGGCCAGGTGGTGGCATGACACGGGAGAGGCGGTGGAACATTTCCAACATTTAAAATGTCCCCACTGCAGCTGTCACTGTGGCAGCCCTGCTCACACGATGATAGAGGTACACACACCACAGGGCTGCATTTCAACGGAGTCTGCCTGACTGGGTCTGTGACCCTGAAAATATTTTCACACCCGGCACCCCACATCCAGCACAAATAGTTTGTGGCTACTGGTCACGTGTAACTTACTTAAGGCCTAGCACGCCACGTCGAGTATATAACTCGCTATGGCTGTGGATATTAGTTACCCAACTTGCAATCCAGAAGTTACCAGTTCAGTTCTATTCAACTATATTCTTATTTTATTTTACCAAATAAGGCCCACTGAGCTATACAGATCTTTTTCAGAAGCGACCTGGCCACAAATGATAGCTCAAGGAAGTGGTTTATCACGTAGAAATGTAAAGCAGCCAAATTCTCCAAACGCACGTTTCTAAATGTGGAGGGAAAAACCGGAGGACCCGGAGAAAAATTCACGCGACCACAGGCAGAGAGAACACCGCAAACTCCAAATATACAGGCATCAGGGTCGGGAACTAATCCACGACCTCCTGCATAGCAGGCGAGGTAGTCAGCATCTCTCCACCGCGGCGACCATTCAAATCGATCTGCCCCCCACCATCAGCCTCTATCCACCCAGCAGTATAAAAAAAAAGTACACCACAATCAGTCAATCGATCTGCAGGTCGCGTCTGATGGGGTAAAGTGTACACCGACCCCTCTTCCAAGGTGTCTGGCGAGCACGAAAGAGCAATAAAAGTCCCAGTCAACGTGCAACGTTGGGCCAACGTTGCACGTTGACTGGGATATCCTCCAGTGTGGTCCTCTCTGTGGGTCCCTCCAGTGGAGTTTTTTTTCCTGTCAGCAGTGGCGTGAGAAATCGCTTGTAAGGCTGCAGTACCTCTACCCTCTTTAACACAACGCGAACGTGGACCGACCCGGCACTCCGCCGGCGGTCAATGCGAGCTCAGCCGTCAAAATTCCATCGGCCGAGGCGACCACCGATGGGGCCCAACGCAACTAGAGCCCGAAGCAACGCCGTCGATCGGCCGCGTCCGTCCGCGGCGTATCTCACCGTGACGCCACACGCTCGGTACTTGACGCGCGGAAAGCTCATCGTGGTCCATCGGCTGCGCCAACAACGAGCGAGGAATCCCAACAAACGACTGAGAGCCGACGGTTGATTACGTTGTACGTGGGCGGGCGGGCAGGCGGGCGTGAGCTGGCGCCGACAGGGCTGTGTCCGGTCACGGCAAAGACGAACCGACTCGCGCCGGAGTCGGCCCCGACCGTCAACATCGGAATATTCAACGTGGGGCTGCGTGACGCCACGTGCATCCCGCAGAGGGCGTGGCGGGGATTAACGAGGCTTGCTGCTTGAACCAACGAAGTCAGTGAAGCTACGGGCTTGTCCCATAAGTCTGGAATCGTAGGGGAAAAAAACGACTTCATATTTCCCTAGTCATTGGATAGGACGTCGAGGGCCTGTGGAATGGCCAAAGAGAAGCCCTGATCTCACACCGCTGAGTTTTTAGTTTTATCTCTGGGGGTCAAACTTGAAGGCTCTGGTCAACAACGCAGAGAAAATTCAGAGTGTTGAACGTTTGCGGCAGCGCATTATTGACGCACGTGACACCGTTACCCCTGATACCATTTACCGTGTGCCTGCTGACTGGGTATCTCGCCTGGAGTTGTGTGTCAGGAACAATTGTGGACACATTGAGCACGTTCCGTGAATAAAAGCGTTATTATTGCCTTTTTGTCTTGTTATTTTTCCTATGATTGCAGACTTTATGGGACACCCTGTGTATAGGAAAGATAATATACCATACCTTCTCTCGCCTCCCTCTATGTGTCTTTGACTGCCTCAAACGTCAACTGCTGTGTTCTTTTTAAGGTCACACGCTGTTGTTGACGATTGTGTTGAGTTTACCTTTTTTTTCAATACATGATTATGACCGATCAGCGTGCCATTAATTCGCATCACGGATTTCTGCGTACAGTTTTGCTTCGAGCTGAAGGTGTATCGGTGAAATCTATAAATGTCAAGAAACATGGCAAAACAGACAATATGGGGGGCCCTTTGAACGTCTGGGCAGTTCACCAGCATTGGACACTATCAGGCTGACTGTACTGATGAGACGTTGAATGTTGAAATTAATCCGAGAATTTTCTTCTGTCGAACCAATGCTGATGAAATCATGCAGTGCTAGAAGGCGATGCGGCCGACTGGATGTGCACGTGGAGAGACAAATATGTGAAGGGCGAGAGAATTGTCCGCTGAGCTATAATAATAGGATAAAGGTCACAGAACCGGATTGTATCCGCTTCCACAAGTGGTTCCGGAGAGTTCTGAAATTTGAGTCCCTACCACCCACATGCAACACGAAGATCAGCCGTATAACCTATGCCAGGGGGTCGCGGCAACCAAAACAACAACGAGCCATTTTATTATTCTAATTCGTTGAATATACGAAAACTCGATAACGTATTTCACGAGACGCAATGCAACGTGAATACGAGAGGCGGTGGTGGTCCCTGTTAATTAATGTCACGAAGCGGTCCTTAACGAGCCGCATGACGCTATGGAGCCGCAGGTTGCCGACCCCTGCCCATGACAAACTGGACTTCCATGGGGAACTGGACTCCCATAGTAAACTGGAATCCCATGGTAAACTGGACTTCCACAGTAAACTGTACTTCCACGGTAAACTGGACTCCCATGGTGAACTGGACTTCCATGGTAAACTGGACTCTCATGGTAAACTGGACACCCATGGTGAACTAGACTTTCATGGTGAACTGGACTCTCATGGTGAACTGGACTCTCATGGTGAACTGGACTCTCATGGTGAACTGGACTCTCATGGTGAACTGGACTCCCATGTTTAGGGGTCAGCAATCAAAATAACATGAAGAGCCTTTTTTTGTTTGTAATTCAGTAACAACAACTAAGAGCCGCACCGCAGCCCTGAAAGAGCCGCACGCTGCTCCAGAGCTGCCGGCGGCCGAGCCCCTTGCCTAGACAGACAGTTGGGGCAAAGTGCTATGATGAGCGAGTACCTATGAAGGCCCACACGGCACACGAAGAGCGATCGTTTGTTGTGGCCCGACACCCCACCGGGCCACATCCGCCTACAACACAGTGCCGAACCTTAACACAGGACACAACCACGGAGAGGTTTCTCATATGGCGAGGTCGAGTCGACCTCGGCCAGACAGATCTTGGACCGGTTTCAGGTATGGTACCGCTGATGTTGGCCATGGCCTGGAATCGAACTCTGGTTCGCGTCTCTTTTAGTGGCGCAATGCGCCACTATTACCGTGTGCACTCACACACGGCAATAGGACACCCAACACAAACCAGTGTGGTGTATATACACCAATGGGATGTAACGATGTATCATTTCACAGACATATAAAGCATTAAACTAATATCGTTCTGATTTAAAGCTTTCGTGACTGCAGGGATTCATATTCTTGGTTCTTTCGGTAAAGTCACGTAGAAGGGAAACAATAAAATAATAAAAATATAAAACAATAAAATTCTCACAGTGAGAATTGTTTCCCTTCTACGTGACTTTACCGAAAGAACCAAGAATATAATATCGTTCTGTTCGCGAAACTCGCGAAAACTGCAATTGCCCCGAATCGAGTTTGCAATCATCAATGCCGTACGAGCCGTGACTCGTTCACGCGTTGTAATGTAGCAAGGTAACATGATGCTTGCAGCCACCAGAGGCCGCTATATAACCAAAATGTTAACGAATGACGTGTGTTGTCGAGATATGTGTTTCTTTTTACAGCGTTAACAAAAAAACGCAGCAATGGAATCAAACCGTGGCCCTGCATCGCGGGACGAATCACCCCATCGTCTGGAGTAAGCGAGCCACAACACCATCTGGTGTTTCACACCGTCCCTCGTGGCACTGTGGACACTTGGCAGGATGGACCCTGAGGCCCAGCGCGAGGCCTTCCTGAGTAAACTAATGTGACGGATTATTCGCGAACTTGGAATCAAACCGTGGCCCTGCATCGCGGGACGAATCACCCCATCGTCTGGAGTAAGCGAGCCACAACACCATCTGGTGTTTCACACCGTCCCTCGTGGCACTGTGGACACTTGGCAGGACGGACCCTGAGGCCCAGCGCGAGGCCTTCCTGAGTAAACTAATGTGACGGATTATTCGCGAACTTGCTATCCGCGATTTTGGCTATCCGCGAATCGCCTCTGGAACTCTATACTGCTGGAGGGAGAGAAAAAGAAAAGATAATATGATGTGAGAAAGAGATGAGATAATTTTCATGTATTTCATAGCTTATTTTGGTATTTAATGTAATTAATTAAAAATATAGTTTTTCCGCGAAATCTACTATTCGCGAGCTTCCCCGGAACGTATCCCTCGCGAAAAACGAGGGAACGCTGTTCATTCACATTTAAAATGATGGCTTATCACGCAAGGGCGCAAATGCGTAAACTTTACAGGACACCGCCCCAAGCCGAGTCCACTCAGGTGGTGAATACGGCAGCGACTCCCACCCCTATAAGTGGAATGGGAATCTTGACTTAAAGCTTTCGTCACTGCAGGAATTCATATTCTTTGGGTCTTTCGGTAAAGTCACGCAGATAGGTACTGTAGTTTTTGTTATTTTCTTTGAACCTACCTACGTGACTTTACCGAAAGACCCACGGAATGGAATTGGAATATTCCGCTACGTGGCACAGCCAGAAACGGCCTTTCGCCACTCACTGGTTACAGACACGGAGAGAGGTTCGCGGCTGGAACCCACGGCCGCCCTGGTAAATTACCTACCCCCCCCCCTT